TGTTGAAGTTTGAGGAGGTAGTGCCAAGGAAAAGTGATCGACTCGCTGATATGATCGACTCGCTGATAAACCACGTTATAATCTTAAAGTGTTCAATAAATCATACTTTTCATTAGATTATTTTTAAAAGTAATATAATCTAGGTACATAATCTGTTACTAAACAGGGCCATAGATAGCTTTTGCTACCATGTGAATACTTTTAAAGTTTTCCACTTTTGCTTGTAATATAGTACGACCTTTCTTACAGTAAGTCCAAGCGTGTCTCCCGCACGTTTCAATTCTTCTATCACGACCTCAAATCTTCTTTCTTTCTCACACACCTATGCGTATCTTACCAGTGTCTATATAATTGTTTATTCATGAACCCCAGAATCTTTTATAGATTACCACGTGATTATTGCCCCGACTCCACTTTACTGAATAAATCCCCGTACTTCGGGTCAAGCCGTCGGTCAGTAATCAGCACCTCAAACATATATCTTGATACCTCCGTTGCGGGCGGAGGTGTTTTATCTGTCCGTCATTTTGAGGTAATTTCCCGCCCAGGCGACGATTCCCATCCTGTGAACCTATCCACAGAGGTGCTGCACACCGTAATTCTGTGATAAATATGGGGTCTTCAGTCACTCTTGGCAGAAAAGTGTTTAAAAGAGCTTTTCGAAGAACTCAACTTATTTAATTCAGATATATCACAACCCTTCGAGCTAACTATTATTTAAAAATTGCATTTTTTCAGTCCATCAAAAATAATCTACCAAGATGTCGCATAAACTGGAAGGGAAAGTTGTCGTTCTTACTGGGGGAGCTTCGGGAATCGGCCTTCAAACTGCACACCTCCTCTACTCTCGAGGCGCCATTCTCTCCATTGCCGATATTACCGAAGAAGCGTTGAAGAATGCTGTCTTGTCCATAAAAGCAGCCTTCCCTTCAAGTACTGGAAAGATTACTAGCGCGGTTGTTAATGTCCGTGAACGCGCGGCTGTTGAGGATTGGATTAACTCGTTCGTCAAGGAGAATGGGAAGCTAGATGGTGCAGTCAATATCGCAGGTGTTGCTGCACCTGGAATAGGCGTGCAGGCACTCGAAGATATTCCCGACGAAGATTGGGATTTAATTATGGGGGTCAACGTTCGTGGCATGTTAAACTGTATGAGGGCTCAAATTCCTCATATGAGGACTTTCAACGACGGCGCCATAGGAGGCAGTATCGTTAATGCTTCAAGTATTGCTGGAGTCACAGGACTTGCATATAATGCAGCTTATGTTACAAGTAAACATGCTGTTGGAGGCTTGACAAAAGCTTGTGCAAAAGAGAAAGCTCCCCAAGGCATTAGATGCAATGCGATTGCGCCGTAAGTCTTCTTCACTTCCTCGGATTTTCTTTTCGGTGTTGCGATTTCGAATTCATATCTTACCAAATTGGTCGATATCGTATTGACAAATAACTATTTAGGGGCGCTATCCATACTCCTATGGGTCAAAGGGGGTTGGAGACGATGAAGGTGGATAGCGAGGTCTACAGGAAGTCTATACCAATGGGTCGGTTTGGGACTGCAGATGAAGTAGCAGAGCACGTTGCGTGGTTGCTTTGCGATGGGTCGGCCTATATGACAGGGACAGTTCAGGTTTTCGATGGTGGTATCGTCTGTTAGATGCAAAGGTTGTGAATTATCAGAATGCGGAATGTATTGCTACATGTAGGATATAGCTCAAGTTTGACGTACATGTAAGAGACCTGTGCATTACTCTAGTAACATCTTGAAAATTTATTGTGCTACAATTCCTCGAACAGTTAACTAATCTTTCCAGATTACTTGGATCAATAAATACATATGAATTGAAGTATCCCAAATCGCTCACGTAACTGTTTTCGTTGTACGAGACTTCTAGAATAATATCATTCATACCTAGGTGTGTTCAGAATAATGACCGCATCTCTTACCACCAAAAGGAAAAGGATTGTTCATGATATCAATCAATCAGTTCGTTCTGGTCCCTTACAGAAATATCATGTGACACACTAACACTGATGTCTCTGATTATAAAGATGGTCAGTTTAGAAATTTCCGTATTCCTGGTACGGAACGGACTTGGATATATAAGGCAGGCTACAACTTCTCAAGACATATTGATTAATCCTCACATATTTCTTATCATATAAATAAAGCTAAATAAAACTGTTTACTATAAACTTTAAAGTACCCACTAGACCTCAGAGCCAAAGCTGTCCTAGCCACCGCTCGCTATCGGCTCTGATTGTTCTTGCTATGCTCCGTCTGTTGTAACTTACTCCCCTCCATGACACTCTCAGCACTATCGTACGCTTTGCTGTTGTATTCTGATTACTATATCTATAGCCCTAATGCTATCTGTTTTCTGCTATTCAAAGTCGTGGGAGAGTCGAGAGCTATTGAAGTCAAATTACTTTTTATGTTCTCGCTAATTCAGGAGTGCTATCACGGCAATCTTTCCTAAAGCGGATAGAATTATAGGAACTCCTATCTTCCCTTCTAAGTCATGACCTACCCCGCTTCCTTCTCGCCTTACAACCACAACAGTAAGAGTAACAGCGATAGTAATAGTAGGTAAGAGTTTTGTATGATAGTACCCATTTGAAAAGATTAGCGAGCGGATGTAATAGCAAGAAGGCTGTGGACAATAACAGTATAGAGGAGCGAAGAAGCGATAGTAAAGGGTGGGTAGAAAGCTGCAAATAGTGGGTACTATATAGTAAATAGTGTTCTAATAATGCCTTTAGATGTATACTAATAATGCGTAAGGATTAATTGTTTAGGTCGTGAGGAGTGGTGGCCTTATCCACCCAAGTCCTTTCCAAATTGTAACTGGCGAGAAAAAAGACAATACTACAACGGGATATATCTACGAAAAAGTCGCAATATTTACTCGAAAGTATAAGAAGCTCACTTCCAATTGGATGACGAGAGCTTGCCAAATTGAATTTTGACGCTTTTTAAAAATGTCATATTCCGGAAATGGTTTTCCATCCCCGCATTCTTACCATCCACAATGGGCCCATGATACCCCTTTACCCCCTTTACCCCACAAAGTTGATGCGGGGTGCATAAAGCCATGAGGCACGCTGTGCAGCGTCCAGTAGTTTAGCCACTTCTACGAATGCTTGCCCTACCGCGAGATGGACCATCTAGATCCTCAAAACAGCGAACATTGATCGGGCACCCGAATTTGAGAAAGCTCTAGATTATCTCGAACCTGGACATCTATTGTTCATACTCATGCTCCTATCACCGAAAACCCTTTTATTCACAACGTCAGACATTTAGTCCCAATTCTGAACCGACAGTGGCCTTTATCCAAGCAGAAAGAGAAAAATATCATGTCTGGCGGCCACGAAAAACATGATATTGATCTTGAGCACCGAGAACAAACGAACAGACACTCCGAAGCGGCAATAGATGCCGCGCTTCATCATGACGAGGTCGCTCCAGAAGCGATTGGCGGAATATATGGAGAGATGCCAAAGGGTTACTTTAAGAGCAAAGATTTCATCGGCACCTTGATTGTCAGTTATGTGTCCCCCAGTATGGGATTATTCTTACACCATATAGGCAACTTGTCTTGCACAGATAAGTGGATATCTTGGCTGGGTTTTACCTGCAAATACCATATCTTTGATCGATGCAGCACTTTCAAATGGTGGTTCAAAACTAAATATTAGTTGGCTGGCTTTGTCGTGGACGATGGGCTTCACAATTGGTCTTTCGCTTGTTGGGCGTCTTTCTGACAGTAATGGTTTCCGTAAACTCTTGGTAATGTTTACCACTAACTGCGAATGAAGTATTCGGACGTCGTTGGTTCTTCATTGGATGTTCCATTATGGCCCTGTTGGGAAATATCATCGGTGCATCAGCACAATCAGTAAATCAGCTTATTGCTACCAACTGTCTCAATGGTCTTGCTGCGGCTGGCCAGCTTTCCTTCTCGGTGATCATCGGGGAGTTGGTATCGAACAAACAGCGCGGGCCATTCAACGCTCTAGTGTTATCTACATCCGTTCCTTTCGCCGTCTTTGGACCTCCAGTTGCTAGAGAGTTTTTTGAGAACACTGGCCTTCAACGGAGATGGTCATACATCCTAGGATGCATCATAAATGCCATTGCAGCTGGAATGTTTTTTATTTGCTACCACCCACCCACCTACTTGCAACTTCATGTTGGTGGGAAGTCAAAGATGAGCCAGCTGAAGGGCCTTGATTGGGTTGGGATCTTTCTATTCACGACAGGATTAGTTCTCTTCTTGATTGGGCTCAACTGTAAGCGAATATTGTGACCTCAGAACAGGATTACAAACTGATAAATGAATAGGGGGCGGACAATCATATTCATGGGCTTCAGTACACGTTTTGGTTACGCTAATCCTCGGCATCTTTACTCTCATCGGATTCGGGTTATGGGAGGCATACAGCGGTCACGAATCTCCACTTATGCCGATGAGATTGTTCAAAAACATCAAGTACGATGCAATCACAGTATGTGCCTCAATTGGCGCGATGGTCTATTACTCAACGACAGTGGTCTGGCCTACACTTTGCGGTGCACTTTTTACAACAGATGTTCAAGAAATAGGTTGGCTCTCCTGTGCTGTGGGAGGTGGTCTTCTCTTAGGCCAAATATCCGCAGGACTTGGCATTAGATACTTGCCTCGAATGAAAATCCAAATGACTGTCGCATCTGTCATTATGGTTACCTTTGTCGCTGCTTTGTCGGCCGTTGACGAGTACTCACGCACCCGATCAGTTGTTTTTCTTCTCCTTGCGACATTTTCAGCTGGATACATCGAAAACCTGACTCTTTCTTTCATGGCTCTTGTTTGGGAGCCTGAAGATATTGGTCTTGTTGCCGGCGCGATGGGAAGCATCAGAACGGGTTCATCATCAATTGCTACATCACTTTACCTTACATTACTCAGCAATGGTCTCACCAAGTACCTTCCGGGATATGTTCCACCAGCAGCAACCGGTGCAGGGCTCCCACTTGATTCTCTTCCTAGCCTTTTCTCAAGCATCACCTCTGGTTCTTTTGATAAAGTAGAGGGGATGACACCGGAAATCGCAGATGCCGTCGGCCATGCTGTTAAGCATGCATATTCCATGTCTTTCAGAACCGTGTTCTTATGTACGCTACCATTTGGAGCAATTCTATTGGTGGCAGCTGTCATCACTCCCAATGTTGAGGATACATAACCGATGATGTTGCTCGAAGATTGCAGGGAAAGTCGGTTGCGGGTACTGCATCTGTGCGGATTGGTGATTCGAAGCCAGGCGAATGATCGAATGGTTTTACTTCAGCAATGAATCTTTGCGAATCCAAACTGCAAGCAAAAACATATATAGTGGCACGTTCTCAGAGAGATTTCGAGGACTCTTGGGTAAAAAATATGTCAACTAGACTACTTATACCCAGAAATTGCGCCAGCTAGGTTAAGCGAACCAGCACATGACTAATACTTATCATATTCACTGCTTCCCACAAATACTTTATACCACCAGCAAGCTTTCCGGTCATTCATGACCTCTCCCCCATAAAAGACGCCAAAAAATGCTGCGGGCCGAGCCTACCGCTTATCAAACAAGCCGCAATATGACTGGGCTCACAATAGAGAGTACCCACACTTTAAGCGATAAAGCTACTTGAATCTAAATAAGACTTCCACCGTCACCAAAACTGGGATTTTACCCACCTGGCCTGGTCAGCTAGTGTGAGATCCCAAAAGTACCACATCACGAAGCTGTTTCCCAAGTAGCAACACTGGCCTAATTTGATGATGAAATATTGATTACGGTGAGCGGCGTCTAGGGAGGCGTTCAGGTCAAAGACGTGTTTAAGGAGGATTGAAGGGGATATCACACCAAGGACACACAGAGATCAGGAGTTACGAGCCAGAAACGCTTTTGATAGTCAGCTTTCCAAATTTCTATTGTTTTTGGGAGCTTTTCAGGTGTTCTTTTGGGGGTGTGTGTTGATGCTTCCAATTTTAGCCGAAGCGAGGGTAAGACACGTACAGCCTCCCGTATGCTGTCACAACATCCACACGTTGTTTATTCACGTGGCCTGTCAGTGGCATGTATATAAGCGTTTGCAGTCTAGCTAGCTACCTTCTCTCCTCTAAGCAATTAGACACCACCGAACAAAAACTGATTACTTTACTCCATTTAACAGTGTATGGTATCTAACGACTACTCTTACGAGTACTAGGTGAACCGACACCAACCAGTGTTAGTTTTACTAAAAAAGTGAAGTAATACGAATAATAAACCATACCGTATCACTTAACTTGTTTCGGGAAACGAACATATGCGGTACGAAGCGGCACTGTAGGAAGAAGGTTACAGAGTCCCTGGTGGATTGGTAATCTGACATTGGCTATGAAGTTGGAAAGTGATAGCTCAATTCGTATATTTTTCGGCTTGTCTGCCCTAAGGGAGATAGGAAAGTTTTGCCAATTTCTGCAAGGTGCAGTCCTGTTAATTAAACTTCTCATCTCTAAATAGAACGCTGCTCAGTGCTTAAGCGAACGCGGTTAAGCGAGTACGTAATAAAGACCCTCCGTAAAGAGGGCCAAGAACATAGAAAATTCAAAACTTGTATTACGCGCCTCCATCTTGTTTAAGTGAGACTGTAGCCCTAAAGCTAAAGTATCGAAGAATTTTTACGTGAATTTCATTTCAGACAATTAAAACAATGTTAATTCCCACAACATCCTAGTCCAGTAACATTTGATGCAGTTTTGGTAGTCTTGTTTCAGAAACGCAATTTACCGTTTCATTTTCCGAGGAAACATATTACATCGAGTTGGATATAAATAATGTATTTCGCTATAATTACTTTACCTTTCTTAATTTTGAGAGTGCGAGAGTTTGGTATATTGATCAGCCTGGGCAAAGTACTGTATCCGGGATGAATATGACTCAAAAAGCGGATACGAAATAGGTCATGATAAAGTGGCCACATCAATAGAATCAATCATGATATGGGTTACACTTAGCTGATCAAGAATAGTATTGGCGCACTCCTCCCACACGCACAGCATCAACACTCATCACCTTTAGTTAGTTTAGCACTATACATAATTACCTTCTATGTACACCAAACCACAATAGTATTAGCAATTCCATTCATCGCCAAGCTGCAAAGACGACCATGAGACGAGACGAAACGAATTAATGGGAGTGTTTTGTGGATACTTTTATGGTGTTTTGTTATTGATATTTGTGCGGCTTCTCTGCAAGTTGCCCATTGCTTGTTCACAATTACAGACAGCTATGTGCCACTCATATCCGAGTACATGTACGATGAGATCCCGGAGAAAAAAAGTGTTTAAAAGTTATAGTTCATTTCATTCATGTACAATATACGCCAGCGTCAGAAAGGGAATTCAACAAAGTTTAATACACGAAACCCATCTGTCCGCCTTCAAACATAGTCCGAAACCCTAAGCAGCGGGAAGCGGAATACTCTGCTGATTATTAGTAAACATGCCAACCGGATCATAAACAGCCTTAATCTTCTTCAATCGTTCAAAGTTCTCAGCACCATACAATCGCTCACTCCACTCAGCCTCGCTCAAAGCCGTATCTCTGTAGTTGGCGAATCCTCTCAATGGAATGCCCGCAGCCGTCAATGCCTTCTCGAATGGCAGCATAAGACTCTTCATGTAATCGACTCCATCCTTAGGCATATCTACAGTCTTTGAAGTCCCGTCCAATCTGATCAGCCAAAGATTGTTGCCGTGTTTGTAAGAAGTATCGCCATCCTTGATATCCCTGGAAACACCACCCCACAAATCGAGGAAACCAGAACCGGACATATCATTGCGGTTGAAAGCGATGGTCGTGCCGTTGAACAGAGTAGTCACCAATTCCTTGGTAAGTGGCTTGTCAGCAGTCGTAGTAAGCGCTTGAATGTAAAAGGTTCTTCCAGGGGAGCTTCCTCCATTGGGCCTATCGAGACCTGGGTTTGCGAGGTTTTCCAGAGCCCAGAATTCCAATTCCTGTTTGTCAAATTTGGCGGTAGGAGGTAGCATAGCCTGAAGTGGTGCGATCACGGAATCGAAGGTTGCTGGGTCCCCATAGAAATAACCGGTTCCAGTGTAATTTTCTGGGGTTCTTGGAAGGGAGAATCGGAAAGCGAGTTCATCCGGTGCCAGAGTAGTAGCAAACTCCTGGATAGACAGGAGTGCGTTTACTCCAGTGTCCAAGTCCACGCCTGATAGGGAGAAATTGAAGGTGATGGCGTTGGGAAACTGAGGTTTATGAGTCTTGGTCGTCAAACTTGTCAAGACGCCATAGCTCGAGGCTGCTCCCTGCGTGGCGAAGAAAAGATCATCCTCCTTTTTAGCGGTAACTTCTGTGCCATTAAAGAGCATGTAGGTCACGCATTCAAGATTGTCCATAGGAGTACCAAGGTGTCGAGAAGTGGTTCCAAAACCACCTCCAATTGTAGAACCAGAAAGACCTGGGCGTCCATGTCGAACATGCGGGAAGTGGGCTTGATAATTATCCCAGGCAAATTTAGCTACAGGGCCAACTCTGTTGCCAGCACCATATGTCAATAGTGAAGTTGCCGTGTCAAACTTCATGTCATTGAATGCTGTCATGTTGAGGACTAAATTTCCATCGTTTCCGTACCCGTATGCCGCGAACGAATGAGCTCCCCCAAGAGGTGAAACCTTTACTTTAGCTGCGAGTGCACAGGACAGAGCAGTTTTGAGCTCGTCCTTGTTGTTAGGGAAAGCCACTAGTACGGGCTTTGTTGTGATTCTTGTCTGCCATGCTTGAGAGTTGTTGGCAAAATCCGGATCTTGCGGAGCAATGACTTTGACTTTAGCATCTTCCAGACACTTTTCCAAACCTGCGGCTTCTGGCGCTGACGTTGCCACTGGTTGTTGAGGAAGAGCTACTGCCAGAGTTGCGAAAAGAAGAGAAGAGACGATAAGACCTGCTGATTTGGCCATGATGGCTTGTGAGAATTGATAAAGAATGTAGGGTTTGAAAAAAAAGAGTGTACACTTGAAGGAACTAGGGAATGCGAGGCGGTTCTTAACTTATATTACGTCGTCTCAACTCGCCCCGTGGCAATTTGGAAAGGCTCCTAGATCTTGCCAAGAATCTGATTGAAGGGGTGAAGCTTACCTCAAATTGAGTGGAAAAAAGTTTATACAGAGGCTACTTACCTTGTAAGATCATTACCCTGCTCGGCTCATACCTCATATAACCCGATATTTATGGGTCGCTTATTTATCCGTATCCACACTAGGAAGCACACGGAAGGGTACCCCGGAGGAGTCTAATGATTTTATGATGTTGTCCAGTGCATATCTTAGCTTATTTTATGCGTCGCTAGAAGTATTCCTGTGCCTAGACAATTTTATCAAAGAACATTAGCATATGAACCATAGTATAATGAAATTGTTTAGATGATTCCCGAGGTTCATTTCGGCAGGATTAGACTTCGAAGTAACATGGGATCAGAATTAGACCCTTCAAGTTAAGTAATCCATCTTCTTGAAAGCACGCCAACCAGGTCAAACAAGGACCTGAACCATTTATGATGCTTTATGATGTATGGGAACCCGAATTTCGGACGACAAAGGAACGATTCTTCCAGGAACGAAACGTGAAACCGCATGAGAGATCCTTACAAGAAGAAAATAAGAGTTTTTAACACCCGATCTTAAAGTCTAATCGAATGACGAGGTAGCCCCGTGTCATTCTATGCAAAAGGCTGTCAGGCACAATGTCAATGACTTCTACCTATTGTCGACGGCAATCCTACTTCATAGAGTGACCTTGTCGCCGATTTTTATACACGTGGACTATTCAGTGGTTAAGTTCTTTCCACGACGTGGGCAAAAGCCGTGCATCGACTGTGCTAAAGGTGTAAAGACAACTTGTGGAGACAGGAGAGGATCAAGGGTAGTAACACTAACTAACGCTCAGGCCTCCAGTCATCCCACCATTTAGTGCCCATATCGAGTCTAACTCTCTACAAAAGCCGAAGCTATTCGGACTTCCCGCACTTAACGAACTCCCACGCCGCCCCCCCTCCCACGCTCGCCAGTAGAATTGTAGACTATAGTAATTGGGTTACACACCTGTACTACAGTAGGTATTGTCTTGTCGGCGGGTTCTATCCCTTACTCGCAAATCCTCTCTACCAGTAGGCAGAACGACCTAGTTACTGATTAGGTTTTGTCCAGTACCCGCACCAATCAAACTGGTAGAATACTACTAACCAACCCCAATTAAGACGTTCTGCCACTGGTAGAGCGGAATTAGGGAGCACCAGTAAGGGTTACCTTCTTCCACACCAATCCGTCCACCAAGACCACGCAGCCAAAATTACTTTACAAGTTCTATGCATAACAACAAACGCCACTTACAAGTACAAATTTCAAGGTCGGCGGCAAAATAACTCCGTTGCATAATCATCACTATACAGCCCCCGTTGCGTTATTTCCGGAAGAGGTGTATTTTCAAATAAAGAGCGGGAGTATTTTATGAAACCCCGCTATTTAGCAGAAACTTCCAATTAAAAGAATGTATTGTAAGTAAATCAACCCTTTATATATTCGAGCATGGTTTTTTAAAGATTAGTTCATTTAACCCTTTTCCGAAAGCTACTTGTACATTAAGGGGATTGTATAGTAATTAGATCAAAAAGCTTTCGGGTACTTACAGCCTCCGGGCTTACAGTAGTTTCCGAAAAAGGTTCATATAGAATAATATTTTTAGAAACTCGGCTCGGATAGATGAAGATTTAACTTACTTATAATACTTCGAAGTATAATCTTTCAATTAGAAGGTTTTGCTACTGGTAAATGGCTAGAGGGTCCTAATAAACCTCTCCCGCTCATCATCCGAAAATACACTCTTTCCGGAAACTAAGCATGGGAGGCTGTAAGATTACTTGCAGCTACGTACTTCAAAGTAACTCGTAAGTGTACTGATAATTTCGTTACTCGTAGCCAAAGTCAGATGGTCGGGCACCATTCTGGTTACTTACAGGATGTACGAGTAGCTTCAAATAAGCCAGCGGGGGAGGGGAAGGGTGGTGTGAGATTCGACAACTGACACTATTCTTCCTCCGTCCCTTCCCCCTGGCGTAAAAGAAGCTTTTCTATCAGGGGGGACCGGGAGAAGGAGGGGGATGAGTATACCCACACACCCCACCACTACACTTACAAGGAGACTCCTCAGCAAATCCGCACATCAACTCTTTAACTTTCCTCACAGTATTCAGAACTCCTGCTTTACTTCCGACTCTCCTCGCTCTTCAATTTGCCGGGAAACTAGTAAATTTAGTTTATTTCTTACCCGGAGATACTGTACTTGAAAACGGACGTAGAATAAGATAATATTATCCCCCTCTAGTACGGAGCAACAACACGCTAGCGCACAGCCCACATTTCATTAGCATCAGTAAGGTTACCGACCCGAACATACTTTTGGTAGACAGGAGGTATTTTAGGGGCATGGACACACGATCGCGATTCGGGGTCCTAGATTGACTCAAAGGCACGAGGAAATAAGGATATCTTCCGTATACAATAGTAAACCCGCGGGGGTTCGTAACGTGTAAGATAAACCCCTGAGTAGCCGGAAAGGATGCTATGCTCAAACCTAGTTACAGGCCACTGTATTACATGTAGCTTCCACTAAGATTTTCCGACTTAAATGGCCTGCTCGCAGGAGTCGAAGAATCTTCCACCAACCTAAGCCAGCGGGTTATGTCTTGGGAGATTCACTGGATAGACAAATAAGACCATCTCCGACTTCTAGAAAGCTCGGAGGATTTCGCAAGTGAATCAAGGAGCACGCACTCTGGTGTAAATCTCGGTATGAGAACCACTTCAGAAATATCGAACTATCGAATCCTGGTTAAGCATACTCTCCTCTCCTCTCCCCTCCCTCCGAACACCATTCAAAAACCCCCCTTCCCTCCCCGAACTATCCAGACCAGGAGATTACGATACCCACCCACACACACTGATCTGCGGCTGTCACAAGAGTCAAGTGCGAAAAGATGAAGACAGCCCAAACCAAACCGGGGGAAAACCCACGTTTCAGTCGAGGGTTGAGTTGGGTGGGAATCCGGGGTTGTCCCACTACGGCACGGTGCAGAAATTTACCGAACGGGAAATCCCTGCTGCTTGTGGGAACATGTGAGCATTGCCCTTAATACTTGTGATATTCTCTCACGTTCTCAAAACTCCATATACTTCGAAGTACCAGAGGACTGTTCCAGAAGCCCGGAGAGAGGGAACCCTGGTTTTCGGGGTGGTAGTCGGAGATGAGGATGGTGGGAGGTAGAGAAGGGTGTAGATATAGTACTTGCCGGATGAGAGGAAATTGAGAATAGAACAGAAACATGAATTTGATGTAAGCTTACTTGGCTTTTGAACATCGGCTGGTCCAGAACATTCATGACAGACGTGTACCAGTAAATAAGAGAGCATAAGAGAGCTCTATTTAACATTAGTTATCGTCGACATCTCGACCTTGTCTAGATGCCATACCTACCACCCAAGTCTATCGTGATACGTCCATGAGAAACCCCGCCATAACGCCAGTCGTTTTCTGATACCCATAATGCAAATGTACAGTTGATGTACAGCCCGGTCCTAGTCGTTACAACACGGCCTTTTGTCTTCCGGTAGCTTCGTCCGAAAGAATTGTTGGCTCCCTTCGCTTCTTCAAAACCTTCTCAATGAATGCTTCCCCCGCTTTATACGAGCTCCTAACCAAGGGACCGCTTGCGCAGTATAGAAATCCCATCTCTAGCGCGCGGTCGTGCCACAGATCAAAGGCTGCCGGAGTAATGTATTCCTCGACTTTCATGTGTCTTTTTGTTGGGCGCATGTATTGCCCGAAGGTCACGACATCAACACCAACCTTTCGGAGTTCTGTATGAAATTAGTACTTGATCGGACCGTGTGTTGTAAAGAGAAAAAACGTGCCTTTCAGGGTTGCCCATAGCTGGTCCTCGGTCTCTCCAAGACCCAACATAATACTAGTTTTAGTAATCAAAGTTGGAACAGCTTTCTTCGCAGCATCCAAGACTGCCAGACTCTGTCTAAACTTGGCCCTTCTATCTCTCACAAACGGAGTCAATTCTTCCACAGTCTCCATGTTATGCGCGTAGACGTCCAATCCACTTCGAGCAACCATAGCTACCATCTCAAGGTCTCCTCCATAATCACCAGTAAGGGCTTCCACCAAAATAGAAGAATTCTTTTGCTTAATTTTCATGATCGTCTCGGTGAAATGTCTTGCACCTCCATCCGCAAGATCATCTCGATCTACAGAGGTTAAAACAACATAACCCAATCCCCATCTCGCCAACGCCTCCGCTGTATGTTCTGGCTCGTGTGGATCCAGTGGTGCGGGAGTCTTGGAGGTCTTGACACTGCAGAATCGACATCCTCTCGTGCATGTATCCCCCATTAACATGATTGTCGCTGTTGCCGCACTTTTCTCACCTCCGCCCCAGCAATCCGATATATTTGGACATCTCGCCTCTTCGCAGACAGTATGTAGATTCAAGCCGCGCAAGTCCTTCTTTATCTGCTTGTAATTGGAGTCGTTGGGTATTGGGGTCTTGAGCCACTCGGGCAATCTAGTAATCTGCCTCTTCCTCCCCGCTGGTCCTACCATGGCGGTTCTCAACTCGAGCGCATCGTGATGGGACAATGGCTCGTCTTCGGCACCAACAAATTCGGAGAAGGAGGGAATGGAATTTGCTCCATCTTTGAAGTATGTAGGACGTCTCTTGGGCGCAGGCGTGGTTGTGGTAGGCTCGGAGCTCGCTGCTTCGGTGGCAAGGCTTCTGGAAATTGTTGAGGGCGAAGAGAGAAAAGTACGAGTGACTTGACGCAAAGGAGATGCATTGAGACATCTGAATCTACTTGCCACTACCACTGCCATGGTTGCGATTCCAGAAATACTGGAGATTTGAATTGGTATTGAGATGTCTGTCTGCGATCAGATATTCAAAATCCATTTGCACTTGGCTGCGCTATTGTGAGGTCGATTCTCACTAAGGTTCACTCCGCCGGAACCCGTGTTTTTCCGCTCTATCCAATCAAAACGCTCGAATTTTCAAGCTAGTCGACGGCTACAAGTACCCGACTGGATCAACATGCATCTCATGTTTTTTTTTTCAAAAAGATTTGATAGATGCAATAATTAATATAAAAATAAGAGACAATTTAAATTTGAACCATCATAAGCTGTCAAGTTGAACAATGTATTGATTACTCTACAAGTAACTACAAAACTAGGTACTGACGTACTTTGTACTACCTAACTGGTCTTCGTACTACTAGTAGCTTATCCATGTCTGTTTTCGATTACCCGGTATTTTGGCAAGGCTGAGAAATCTACCTAGGTAGCAATCAACACCTCGGCAGCCCAACAACATCTCCCCAAATTCCACTCACCATCAAAAGCCTCGAGTCACTACACAACCCCACCATGAACTCCTTCATATGTTCAACTTGTCGAGCTTCCCTTCGAAAAACCTCTCGAATCCGCGGTATTCCCGCAATACGTCACAACTCCAGCTCCTCAACACCCAACCCGCAACCCGGTTCCCCAAAAGCAACACCAGAACCACTCAAAACCCCCTTCGACATCGCCTCCTTCCTCTCCACCCCCTCCTGGTCCGTCCGCGCCCTTTTCCCCGACCCCACCACGCCCCTCAAACAAGAAATCACGCCCAAACAACTCCACCACCTCCTCCGTCTCTCCGCCCTCCCCCAGCCCAAGTCCCCAGACGAGGAAGCAGAGATGCTAAAAACACTGCACACCCAACTGCATTTCGTGCGGGACATCCAATCCGTGAACACGGAGGGCGTGGAGCCGCTGCAGAGCATACGGGATGAGACGACCGCGGGGATCAAGGCGTCGACGATTACGCTGGAGAGCTTGCGACATGCGTTGGAGGAGGAGGGGGTGACGCCGAGGAACAGGAGACCGAGGAGGGTCGTGGAGCAGGTCCCGAAGGCGGATCCGAGGAAGACGCCTGTGGTGAGGATTGAGAATAGCACGATGGGAACAAGCGAGAACTGGGATGTTATGGCGACGGCGGGGGAAAAGGTTGTTACGCCTTCGGGGAGTTATTTTGTGGTTAGGAGTGGGGAGGTGGGGGAGGAGAGGCTGAGTAGAGGGGGCCCAACGTCTGTAGACGAGGGAGAGAATCGGTTGTAGAGATGGATTTGAAACTACCGAAGGTGTAGGTGGGAATCTATGGATGGTGAGGATCCAGCCTACTGAGGAGTATGAGAGTGGCTGCCACTTTTCCAAATCAAGAGAAATGTAGCCAACACGATTTCTGGATAAGGACATACTCCTGCAGATTGAAGACTCGGAACTGTAACAGATCAGTGAATCGCGGAAGAAGTAGTTGAAAGATATAATCATTTGTGTATTTCTACATTTGCTTGTTTCTCGGGCTATCGTATACTTCAACCTAGATGCAGCTTCTCAGCAGCTTTCTGCATCAAAGTCTGCTGAGTTTTATGCTCAACATCCTTTTCCATCTTTGCTGCTTCCTCCTCCGGTTTCACATCGTCACCCTCCTTCTTCTCCTCTTCCTTCTTCTCTTTCTCCTCCAACAAAGCCAGCGTCTCTTCCTCCCTCTTCACCTCATCAACATCAATATCCTCAAACCCAATCTTCTCAAGAATACTCCCGACCAAATACTGCAACCGTAAGTGCCCACTGACCATATCACTGACATCCACATTCTCAATTCCTCTAACATCCTCAATCTCTTGCAAGCCTGCAACCCCAAATTGAATCCTGCTTGTCCGGTAGAGGAAAGCTAGGATATAATCATTCTCGGAATAGACATTAATCAATCTCCCGGCAACTACACTCCTCATCGCTCTCCAAGGGGTACCATCCGATGGAGTAGGAGCACCAATCAGAATCGCACTCTCTACCAATCCAAACGCTCTCCTTTCCGCAAGACTCATCAAACATGAATAGATCATTCTAGCACCGAGACTATAGCCAATTAAAGTGACTGGTCTCTCTCCTTGTGCTTTGTTGATGAGTGCGTCAGCTAGGACGAGCCCAGCTTTATCCGCTCGGTTCATGCCGACGGAAAATGGGTTATCGACGATTTTGGAGATTTTCAGAAGACCGATGGGCCAGAGTGCTGACATGAGAGAAGCGAAGATTGTTCGTGAGATGATTTCTTTCTTTGCGACAGCCCAGGCAGCGGATTTGACTACGGATTCCATGGAGGTGCCGAGTTTTCTGGAGACTTGTTAGTATTTACTTTGTGTTGTTGGGAGGCGGGATGATACATACGTCAAAGCAGCCAATTCCCATCGCAAGGCAAACACCTCACTTTGACGACCTAGCGCTCTCCAGGGTGTTATGATATCCTCTCTTTGGGTGATCCATCCACTAATACCAATCGTAACTCTCAATCGTCGGTCCTCTGGAAGTGGTTCGCGGTGCTTGGATCCCTTCAATGGTAGAAAGGCAAAATCGTCTACTTCTTTGGCGTACTGATCCATCATTTCACCAGTCATTTTTCCACCGTAGGCTCCAAAGAGTGCGCCGACTATGACCCCGCTCTCTGCTAAAGCTCCTAGAAGTCCTGCAGCGGTGGTGGCACCAAGACCAAGACCACCCATAATTGTACCTATTGCTCCCGCTACTAATGGAGCTGCCAGGCCTCCTGTGATCCTATTGTACATGTCAGCTTAAGCGAGAAAAGGGGGGTGGGATTGGAAATGGGGTAATAATTACCCGATCACGGCAGCACCAGCAACGCCTGCCAACCCAACTTTCCATCTTCTGAAAACTTTATTCTCGTCTCCTCTCTTTTCGGTCTCTTCTTTGCCTGACATGTGTTTTGCGGCTTCGAGGAGACCTTGAGCAACTTTTACCTCTTGCTCGGCGAGGATGTGTAGTGGTAAGTGGAGTGAGGATGAGAGGTGAAGAAGTAGTATTCTAGAATGTGCTGTATAATGCTTTAGGGAGAGAAGAAGGAGAAGTATGGCGTTGAGAAGAAGAATGCGTTTTTCTCGGGGGAGAGAATAGAGAGTTGTTGAGGTTGGTGGGTAGAGTTCGATGAGAGCTGCATCTGCTTCTTCGATATTTGTGTTTCTGTCTGTGGTTTGGTTAGATATTGAGAGATAACGCCCTGTATAGTGTCTGAGTAGCTTATTCGATGTATGGGCAGCAACCAGAAGTTTATAAGTGTTGTAAGTCGAACGGAAACGATTTGAGATCTCGGGTCAATCCAGTGACGACGGATTTCCATAGAAAATCCGACATAGTAGGACAAGACACAAATAAGCATGAGTGAAGGGAAAACTCACGAAGTATCTTGGTCCCCTCAGGAGGCCCCTTATCATCCGTCGTCGCAGTAGTAGCATTCTCAACCCTCTCCTCAACCTCCTTCTGCGGCTGATTAACCACCTCCCCCAACCGTGAAATCACACCTTCCCTCCAATCGTGAAAAAACTCCTCCGCATCTTTCTTCAACTCCTGGATTTTCGGCGCTGACAATTCTTTCTCTCTACTCTCCCTCAAATTCCTTGCTTTCTCCTCCTCCTCTGTCTCTTCGTGTTTTTCTTGCTCTTTCTCATCGATATTGGGGTTTTTATCCTTGATATCGAGCTTGGGATGGGAGTCTTTTGTTTTGGAGAGGGACGGGGAGGCATCGAAGGTGTCGGAGATGCGTTTTCGCATTACTTCAGTTATGTTGCCAATGAGGAGGGTGAGCTCGATTTGTTCTTCTGTGGAGAGGATTGTGCTTAGGTCCTCTCCGTTGTTGTCTTTTAAGTCTGGCTTTTCTTTTGCTTGGGAGGACGCCATGATTTCTATCACTGTGTATTATTTTTACCAAGTAGATTTAAGGAGCGATTGTAAGGAAAACAACGTCAAAACTTAAGGTGGGTGTTTCTATAGTCTTACATAGATGACGTCGGCGGGGAAATCAGCTACCTAGGTACGACATGTGACTATGCTGATCTTTTTCGGGTCCTGTAATGGAGGCATTTTCGATTGAGATATCAAGTAAAGCAAAACGATCGTAATTTCAGCCCGACTTGGAAGCTAAGTACTACCTATACTATAATGTCTAATAAATAATTTCATTCATAGGTATAGGTACTGTAGATTTAAAACCACGTGACATCAGAGACAAATGGAATAGGTAAGGTACCTTGACCACACTACTAGACAAAAAAGACTTGAAACTTTACTTGGTATATATTATCTCCTTGGTACGCAATTGCATAAAGATTTTTGGGTAAAAGCGAAAGTGGTAAAAATATAAGTACAAATCCGCACTCGAACTTGTTTGACTATACTAAGGCGGCTTGCTAGACTTGATTTGCTCTTGTTCATAAAGTTTTCAGAAATTCAGAATACATTCCAATTTGTAACTCCAACTTTTAACATATTATGAGTGAAGTCCCTATCATTGCTTCTTTTTTAGCAAATACGAATAGAACTAATTCCGTTTCCAAGCTTCTGTAGTACCGTATGTTCTGATCTGGAGAGTTATTTATTTATTTCCACTAGATGATAAAAATGCTATTACTCGACTTCTTTTAGATATCATTCTTCACTCTATCGTATTACATGCTTATTCTTCCCCCGTTTGAGGCTAGTGAATTCAGTTTAAGACTATTGCATGTTAGTCATACAAAAAAAACTTCCGAAACCAACTGAATCACCAATAACTCTCATAAAGAGACGCCGAAAGAAACCGTCTTCCGATTGAGGCTCGGTCATCCTAGGGAATAGGCTCCAAACCACCGGTATTGTTTTACACATGACGGTCTGCTCACTCTCTACATGATAATCGTGCATGAAGTAAGCGTGGGCATTCCGTAGCGCATAATATACATTTTATTTCGAAATATCAAGCTTTCTTCTCCGGATCAGTAGTTGGTGCTTCATTTGACCTTTTACTCGGCTGAGAGTCTTTCGTACCACTCCCCCACAACCATCCACCCATACTTTGCCACCGAGAGATTGAAGGTGCATTTGCGCTCAGGACAGTCTCGGTAGATGCATTTCTGCTAGCAGCAGCTTCAGCAGCAACCACTTTTTGCAACCCTTCTTCTGAGACTTTTGAGGCGGAGGCGGTTTCAGTAGTTTCTCTGTAGTATTACATGAGCTTTGACGAATGGTATCAATCAGAGCCTAAGACGGAGACAAGCTTACTTCAAGGACTTTTGTCTTGCTTCCCAACTATTTTCTTTCATCAAAGGACCAAAAGTATACATGCCTGTCTCGTTAGTAGCAAAATCCGGTGGCGGGAAGAAGTTGACTTACCACCGGCGACTCCGATGGAGGTAGCCACAAGTAGAGGCAGGAAGCCCCTTTGACTCATTTCGAAGCTTTGGAGGGTCGATGGACTTAAATACTCCAAGTAAAAATTCGAAGAGGCGGAATTGTCGTGGGGAGACTGGTGCCAATGATTCGATTGCTCCTGATATCGATGCGACCAGACTCTGCCCTACGATTGGCCCACAATCGCCTATTTACCCCTGCGCCCCACGTCAGAAGGAAGAACGTCGGCCCGCCGGCGCGTCAACCTGGGAACCTGTAAATGGAAGTCGCGTCTAGGCGTGACAGCCAGGCATGCGGATTCACAAAATAGATATGACCGATTCCACCATATCGCTTCCTAGAGCGCATTTTCCTTGAGTATGCCATCCGCAAACCACACATGGCCTCTTGGAAATTGATTGGCGTGGTTCCGGATTCCGAGGATGAAGATGACCTGGATCTCGAGACCCAAAACAATGCGAGCGATGCCAATGTGCACGAGAACGAGCCAAACGACAACCTTGACTTTGGTGAAAATGGAGAGGGAGGAGTAGTAGCTGGGATAAACGGGACACAACTGGACCTCGACGAAGTACCTGCGAATGCGAATGAACCTAATGAGTATGATAACCATGAAGAGAAGAAAGAGAAGGGGAGGGAGGAAACTCGTGGGATATATGAGAATTCTAACGACGACAATACATGCACACGCCCGTTGATTCCGAGTGGCAACTGCGAGATCGGTGGGGAGGATGGAGGGGGATTGTCGGAGGACGAACTTGCAATCACTCCAAAACTTCAACCAGCCAGGAAACAACCTGCTGCTCTCGATAATGGAGGGGCTCCTGCGTCTTCTCCCTCCCAGCCTATGATTTTCAGGGTTCCATCACTGGAAGACGATAAAATCCCTCTGCCAGTTGGATTTCAAACTATGTCGCAATTGTCAGGGGACATTCCTGGAAAGAACACTCCTGCCGAGGACGAGATTTCAACAAGCTATGTACGGATTTCGACTCCTCATAGTAGCCCTCTCTCCTCTCCGCCAGGTAGTCAAGGCTCCAAGTCTAGAACAGAAGATACTCAGAGGTCATTAATGTCCATTGACCTTCAGAATGGTTCGGAATCTTTGTCAGATCGTGCCGCCAGGCAAGCCGCTATGGAAGAACTGGTAAACTCAAGACGTTCATTTCGACAAAGAAACCCTATTCAACTTCATCCTTATATGCTTGAGCAAGAGAAATATCGTCAAACATTGAAAGATCGTGGTGTGAGACCCATGCGAATTACTCAAACCCAGGAAGAGAAAGAATCCAACTCACGGGATAGTTCCTCTCCAGCACCCGAATCACAGAATATGGAAGTCGATGCTGGCGCCAGCGAGCCAATGGATTTTGACTGGGATCCTCCTTCATCACCCCCCGAGAGGGTCATCCCAGAAAAGCCAAACCGTGCAGTAAGGGAAGCAAGCCATCTTCCGACAGATAGCACCGTGGATGACGGTTCTATTGCAACCGATGATGAGTTTCCCGACGTCAATGAGCTCCTCCTCAAATCAAAGGCCACCCTCAACACCATAGAATGCAGACGTCGTTTAAAAAAGTATTCGGTAAAGCATAGGACGAAATCAAACCTCGTCAGACCAACGCACGCCTATCATAATGACAGTAGTATTTTTGACATACCCGTTTCTCCGCCAGTGACTAGCCCACTTCTTGGTAATAACTCCCGAAACGCCATATCTCGGTCCATGTCACTATCATCGGCCAAGGAAGTTGCGCCAAATTCGTCCGGATTAGAGCACCATTTCCGAGTCCCAGCTGGTATACAAACTCCCGTAACAAGTGCAATCAAGCCACCCTCAAAAAGCATACCGGTCTCTTTGGATTTGGATGAAGATGATCCGTTTGCTAGTGATCATGACACCTCTTCCACCGCTGAGTCTTCCTCAGAAGAATCCATTGAAATGATTCGAAAGGTTAGCAAGAAGATACGTGGCGTACTTCCAGCATCACATCTCAGATTAAATCATGATTCGAAAAGACCAGAGATTTCTAGCGCGATACAGCGGCACAATATTGACGCAGCGTCAACTACACCACAAATGAGACGGGGGGTTGCAATACCAAGAGCTTCGGCAATAACTACTCGAAGAAATTCAGAAAGCCTCGAGATAACGGTTTTGTCCGATGATTCAGATGGCGAAAGCGATACTTACTTGGGAGGGTTTGTTGCGGAGGATGATGCGCCCACAGCACTTGATATGCTATTCAATGACCGGCAAGGTTTCGCCGAAGAGGAAAACTCCATCGATCGCATGTTGCCTACGAAAAGGCGAAAGGCCAGATCCTTAAGCGGCCAGCTTCGAAAAAAGAGACGCACCGGTCTGGAGACCTTATCGAGAATAGGTATGGATCAAAATACACGACAACCTAAAATCACTGAGCACCTGGGTGGAGTGCCACAGTGGCAGAGGAAGCAAGGGAAATCAAAGTCATTAAGTGTTTTTGGTACAAAGTCTAAAAGTCAATCTAAGCGCACAAGAACTGTGGCACCTAGATTGAGTATTTTGGATGCTGTCGATTACAATGCTACCAACAAGCAACCTCCTCAGTTCTTACGAATTGCTGCCCGCACCGCAAGATCTAGGAAGGGGCAAGGGAGGCACAGCCCGACCAAAAAGTTCATCAAGATGTCTAATCGAGATGACACCCTGGAAGCGCAAAAGGTTCTGCAAGATTGGCGTAATGGGAGAATTCAACCAAAACACAGAGAGCACCAGAGGTCAAATTCGAACGATCTGGCTAGACGGGCTTTACATTCTATCGTGGTTAACAAGCAAACAAAATTGCCCCCTCCGACCAAAAAGATTAACCAAGGCACGCCGACAACATCTGCACGAGGTTCACAAGCACCTCGCCGTCTATTCGTTACCAAACCTAGACAAACGTCTTTCGGTGGATTTGTTACTCCTGGAGAACCTGTGCCAATCTCCGGAAATCCCCAGGCCCAACCGAATAGTCCCAAAAAGGCACGATTACATCAAAGCCGACCACGCTCCAATATATCCAATATTAGACCGGCGCAGCTAGAGTCATCTGATGCAGAACGACATACTCAGGACTCTGGATCATTCTTCAAGACGTCAAAACGATCTCTGGATGTCATTTTCAGGGATCTACGAAGACGCCATGGAGCTCAAGCGAACCCCCAGCTAGGTAGATATTTGGCCAATGAGTCCATTCGACCTACCATAGAAACAAACGGCAAGGGCTCGCCTACGATTCTTACGGAGAAGGCACCGTTGCCTGTTTCTCGGCGCAAAAAGAACCAGCCAACGCGTGTCGATGTTAACGCTGCAAAGTATCGTCAGCCAAGCGAGCCGATTATTCTAGAACGCTTTCCAAAGCAGATTATGACAGACAAAAATGACAAGCTACAAGGCCTAGGAAAGTTTGGAACAAGATATCCGATTCATTTCGACATTCTTCCCCTGAATACTGCCGTTTATTTTCACGAAAGCAGTTTCATTGGGAGTGGTCGTCTATCCGAAGTCATTAACGGAGTAAGAATACCGAATTGCACCGATGGTGTTAGGAACTCTTTCATTCTCGATGGCAAAACCTTCCGATGGGACCAATGGAACGAGAATGTTTCGTCTGAAATCGGGGTTTGCTTCGATTGGATGATCGAACAAGCGTGTAGTCTACAGCCTTCGTTGTCAAATGTAGATCCAGTTTCGGTGATCACTTTCATCAGTGGGTACATACAACATCATGTGGTATTTCGATTACCCCATGATCAAGTCAATTTCTTGTCTAGGATGTCTGAGATTTTTGCTGATATCTCGTCGCGCCTCGATGGTATTGATGCGAAGACCGCATGTGAACAATGGATAGAAATTTCCAATCGATGCACGGTCGTCGTTTACCAGTTACTTCAGATGGCACGAAAAATGCCTGAGGGTGAAACCTTGAGTTATGATTTCGAAGATTTATTGAAGCGTATAGCGAGAACGGCCGTACGTCTTCTAATAGCTGATGGGTTGGATAATATCAGGCGATTGTATGATGATTTGCAATATTTGTCGTTCCGAGAAATGGGTCTCAAAAACAAACAATTTGCCATCCAGGGTTGGGTGGTATTGATAAAGGTTCTTGATTCTTCTCGAATATCTCGAGGAACATTTTGGGATATTGTCAACCTAGAGTTAAGCGAGCCCGGCATACATGAAGCCTCAGATGTACCAACATTCGAGAACTGGTGGTATTCAATGTTTACTCTTCTCCCGCTGTTCGGATTTGACGAACTTGGAATCGTCAAAGCTGACCTTCGTAAGCACAGTTCTGATAATTGGTCATTGCTTCAAAAATTACTGAAGCGAATTTTCGAGCTCTACAAGTTAAACTCCCATCAACCACCGGGCTTCAACGACTATTGCAGGGCCAACTTAGCCCGGTGTCATTATTTGATGGTCGAGTGGGGATGGTGGAAATGCAGTGGACTGATTGGAACCGTTTTCGACTTCTTTGCTGACCAGAAGTTAGCTAACCTACGCAACGAAGAAGTGTATGATTCGCCCAGATTTCTGAGACAGCTTGATGCAGAGCCCTCATTGGATCTCCAAACAGAAGACCTTTGCTTTCATATACTTCTCAAGATAGTTGGTTTCGCGTTAAAGAGAATGGGCCAATTAGGAGACGTGAAAAGTGTGCGCAACTTGGTTACTCGCCTGCTACCAAACCACAATCGAGAGTTTCCGAAAGAAGAGTCGATTCATCATCGGGAACTGGCCTCGTTGCGAAACCACCATGATCTCCTTTGCACTCTGTACTGGGCAGCACCAACTCAGCAGCGGCCATCGCCTGTCCTCATTCGGGACCTCGTTGTCGCGGACAGATCCCATAAAGAGGCTTGTCTCATTAATCTTCGAGCTTGGGGTAATCTAACTAGAGTGGTTGTCTCTGAACCCGTTAACATTCCTGCCTACCAGCCATTCATAAAGTGGCAAAATGCTCTGTGTACTGCCCTCGCAAAGCAGTACTTGGGCACAGAGGTAGAGATAAGAACTCAGGCTGAATCGGCTTCAGAGGCGGAGAAAGCAACAATGATAATTGCTATCAACAAGAAAAGCACCATGGAAACCTTACGCGTGATCGTCAAAGTTATGGGCCACACTGTGAACGCGGCAAAATCAGCGCAAATGGCTACTCTCGCCTTCAATCCCGGTATGAGCCCTACTCTCAACTTACCAAGTCTTCCTAACAAAAAACAGCTGTTCTGTGTGCACTCTGCTCACAGGAAATATGTGAGGATAATGTCTTTCCCGAAGGCCTCATTAGTGACTCCGTCGCTGTTATTTGTCAATATTTGGCCCAGATAGATAATCTTGAGCCCATCGTTCCACCTGTAGATCGAAGTGGTATTGATGGGGAGGGCGAAAGCCAAGAAAGTGATATGATGAGTTTCATCCTTGGTCGGTGGGAAATGATACACGTAATTTTCTGTATTTCACTCGGTCAAACTTTGAAGCTAACCTTTTACTAGCGTCTCCAACCTGAGATTGTCCCATGGCTACGTACCATCATCACAAAAGGCCTTCAGGAGAGCTCAAAAATGTCCTCTCAACTTTTGTCCAATGCTATTATTTGCTGGGCCCGTTTGATTACTAAAATGACGGAAGGTATTATGGTGAGTCGACCTATCTACATGAGACCTTTTAGTATATTGACATAGGTTTAGAGGATGAAAGAATTTGTCACTACCGGCGCAAGTTCCATATTCCAATATCGCCACAGCTCAAGAAAGGCAATGGCTTATTGGCCCGTTCTTATAGGGGAGCTAGTTGAGCACAAGCATTTGGATGAACTCAGTGTAGGTTGTGTCTGTGCTAATTATATTACTATAGCTGACAGCTGTTTAGATGCCTGGGTTCGATATCGGAGCGCAGTGGCTGTTGTCTATTACCATGCCCAGTTCAATAATTGCGTTATCCTTCGGTGCAGTTGATATGCTCACTGCCAGACTACGATCCAAAGGGCATTACTTGCTGACAGGAAATCCGAGCTTTGCTTCCGGTTCAATTGCAGGTACATTAAGCGCTGGAAGCAGAATGCCTGACAATCATACCCTATTCAAAAGTAAGTATAATCAACCCAATAAAGAAGTTTCGCGCTAACACTGATAGGTGCTGTTGATATCATGCGCACAACTTTACTGAAGCAAAGCAACGTCGACTTGATATTTGACAATGTCTCTTTGAAAGAAGCCCACACAAAGTTTGCTTCGATATTGAAGCAGGTCATGGAGTCGATGAAAACTCAATTGGAGTCCATGACTTCCGGCTCTAAAGAGCATTCGGAATATCTTGAATTCGTTCAGCGTATTGCCTCTATTATTCGATCATATGCTAGCGACATTCAGCCCCTCATGGACTTCTTCATGCAATCCTCGATACACTATTGGCCAGAGGACACTGATCCAAACATTTACGCTGCTGGAGTCGTTTCATACTCGCTCCGTTTGGCCAAAAACCCAAGCATAACCTCGCCCCAACTCCTCCATTATCTATATAATGGTTGGAGAAAGGATATTGTTCAAGGACGCATCAAGCAGCATATGAATCATGTTAAAAACGGAATGAAGCACTGGGAATTCACCGAGTTCATGCTTCTTGAATCTATACCGGCAGCTCTGCATGTAGGGTTTCGATGGGCTGGAGGGTGGGCTGTTTGCGCAACCTACCTACCACTGCTGTCCAATCAGCTCGTCAATATCCTGCAAGAAGAGAGTGAAAATGCGCACGTGGCATCGGAACACTTAATCAATCTACTGAATGACATTATCAACGAGCTTTCTGTATTGCAGAGAAGAGTTGTTGACGAAAGTATTACACTGGCAAATCATCTTTATATCGCGCATACTGTCTTCCAGTTCTGGTTCTCCATTGCGCTTCCCATCAAAGTATTCACATCCTCACTGCCGGATGCTAGCAAATCTGTGGATGATATCGAGAGCTCCATGATGAAGATACTCTCACGGGCATGCCGTATCCAAGATTGCGAGCCTATCGAGATCCTAGAAATCCCAGTCGCGAGACAAACAATGCGAGGAGCGCAGTTTGACAGATTTGTCTCTGTTTTGACTCAGGACCTGAGTGAGCATTGGGAGGTTGCAAATAATGGATACGAGGTAGAAATTGGCAGTATTCGAGCTAGGGAAGCCTCCAAGACTCGCGTGGATCTGCGATATTTACTTGGGGAGTGTTTGACGTTGAAGCAGTTATTGGGGAGATCGCTTATGGTAATGCCGTTCTTGAGAGATGTTCCTGGTCTTGAAGTCCCAGTGGAGAAAATGAACGGTCCTATGGTTGGAGATATGTACTTTTAGTTTTGGAGAGAGGGTATTGCGTGTAATTCTGGATGAACTCTGTGTGCGCAATGATACCTGGGTATAGTTGTCTTGCATTGGCTTAGCATTATGTTTGGAGTAAAGGAAGAGTGGGGTAATTGAAGTCTGCTTTATGTGTAATGTCTATGATGTTACTTTGCCAATGTCCAAGCAGAATCTCAAATGATTTCAAATTCACCCTAGAAACGCAAAAGCCGACACCTACCTACCTGAGTACGGATACGGAGCTAATCTCCGAGTCACGTGCTGATATGGGCAGGCGGGCGTTGGTTGGTAGTAACATAAAAAACCTGGAAATGCTGAGTGAGGTAAATATCACCAACATAGGTGTTTTTACAGTCGCTCTTCTTGGGCGCAAACTCTTGCTGGATGCAAACAACAGCTCTGCGCGTCATCCGGACGTCAAATCGGCTGGTTTTGAGGCGTCCGTGTCGAATAGTTGCAGGTATCCGGAATCGACACCCCCATCAACCTCTCCTTTCCTCTCGAGCTTTCCACCCTTCCCCAACGTCTCTTCGAGCACCAGAAGATCCAGCTGTTTCAGCAGCCTCCGATAGCGCGAAATCACGGCCCGAGGTCGCAGAAATAACGCCCGAGGACGCAGTTGTTGAGGGTGATGGAACCAACGTCGAAACAGATACAGCTAAGACGGTAGATGACGCCGAGGTTGAAGACTCGAATCCACAAGTAAAATCAAGGAATGGCAGAACTGGGACGGTTAGAAGAGGTCGCTCAAAAGTGCAGGAGGGACTGCCGCCCGTGGTTTTACCCGATTGGTTTTGGGAAAAGAACGTGAGGTGTGTAGGAGAGCCTCCTTTGCGTGGACCGCTCGCCGTTTATGGGATGGCTTCTGCCAGTGCTAGCGAATTGAGAGATATTCTGGAGAACTCCGAGAAAACAGGGAAGGAAAATGCAGGAGGGAAGGATATTCAAACGGATTCGACGTCGAGTACAGAGCCAGAAACTGCTAGCCAGGGAGCAAAGGTGAAGGAAGACACAACGGACCTCTCATCTCGGTTCAAAGACCAATTCGATGATATACTCATGTGCGATTTGGTACCTACAAAGGATGCCAGATATACGATGCATGTAGACGTATACAGGGAGATATTTGCAACTCTGAAGACAGGTCTGAGGTTACGTCCGCCGAAAAACCCAGCAATTCCTTCCATAAACAAGCCTGTTACTCTCTTGCAATGTCCCAAAGATGGGGGGTCCTATTATTTAGATTCTGCAGTCGAAACAATTGCGGCCAAACTCAACGCGGATCTGATATCTTTGGATGTTCATGACATTTCCCAAATCGTGGGTTCTCATTTCGAAGACAATCCAGCTTGGTCACAATCAGCCCACGCGATGTTAGCATATGAAACTCATAAATACGCCGGAAAGTTGGAGGAGCTCGAGCAAGATATCGCCGAGACTCCAGAAGAGGACGAGGAAGACCCAAAACCAGTGCCGGTAAAGACTTTAACTAAAAGAGTCTCTAACTTCCTCAGCAGAATGAAGCTCCCCTTTGACCGCCCGACGAGAATCCCTGGATTTTCGCTCCTTCTAGAACCACCACAAAATTCCCAACTGACTGAGAGCGATCAATGGGGCGGACTGAAACTGTCAACCATATTTAACACCTTGGTGAGTTTACTTTCGGGAAATGGTCTCATGTCTACTTTCAAAGTTTGCTTCTCTTATGGATTTGCTCATAACTCGCCTCTTTTCGAGAACCCTTGCTGACTTCAAAATCTGCCCAGATTGATGCTCCCTCCAGCAAGCGGGCATCAGCAGAGTCAGGTAGCGTAAGTGACTCAAAATCTTCATCGGGTACAATAATACTTGTGAGGGATTATAAATCACTTAGCGCCACACCTCGCGGATCTGAATTGCTTGCCAGACTTCGCACAGCTATCCATACGCGTTGGAAAGAGGGTCATGACATCGTGTGTGTCGGTACAAATTCAACATGTGAAACATCCATGGAGGAGAATGGACCAGCTCTCTCGAAGGTTGACATCCAGAAGTTACAATCTGATATTGTGGAGGGCGAAAAGCGAACAATATTTGTACCACCTGATAGAAGAGACCAGCAAGATGAAATCTTTGAGTTGGATGAGAAGGCTAGAATCCGAAATATCAATGTTCGACATATTGAGAACATGATTGAGAGTTTACTGGAGGGCACGCCAGAGCTATCCCCAGTCATCGATGTTGAGAAGAACCTTGATATTTTGACGATCGAGTCCACAGGTCTTGAGGAGGCCGTGTGGACTTACGCTCGAGTTCATAGGTAAGTCTATTACATGTAGCTCCCGATGGTCCCTCTGATTTAGACTAACCTTTCCCTTGTAGGGTCGCTACTACTGTCCTTGGACTCGTAGACTCTCCAACAGTGATTGATGGTGAAATCTTCAGTAAAGCTCTGAATTTGCTTGCTTGGAGTGATGAAGCAAAGTTTGCCTGGGGTGCCGAAGAATTAAAGGCGGAAGATGACGATGCAGCAGATATGATACGTGAAGGGGAACAAAGTAGCTCGACGAAGAGCAAAGATACAACAAAGGAGAAGCTCAAGCAGATCAGAAAGAACTGCAAATCTCACGAAAAGAAGCTTCTCGGAGGCGTCATCCTACCATCCGAGCTCCACACTACATTCAATGACATTCGCGCCCCCAAAGAGACTATCGAGGCTCTTAAGACCTTGACCAGCCTCTCTTTGATCCGTCCCGAAGCATTCTCTTATGGTGTTCTTGCTACTGACAAGATTCCGGGCCTACTTTTATACGGTCCTCCAGGTACCGGGAAAACTCTTCTAGCTAAAGCAGTTGCGAAAGAAAGTGGAGCGACCATGCTGGAGATTAGCGGAGCTGAAGTCAATGATATGTATGTTGGCGAGGGAGAAAAAAACGTGAAAGCGGTTTTTACACTGGCGAAAAAGCTTTCTCCTTGTGTTGTGTTTATTGATGAGGCAGATGCCATCTTCTCTGCTCGTGGTGACGCCAAGCCACGTTCTAGTTCGCATAGAGAGTTGGTCAACCAATTTCTCCGCGAGTGGGATGGCATGAATGATCTTGGTGCTTTAATTATGATCTGTACCAACAGACCGTTCGATTTAGATGAAGCTGTTCTTCGACGGGTACCTCGAAGGCTTTTAGTAGATCTTCCTGTCGAGAAGGATCGCGAGGCAATTCTCAAAATTCACCTCAAAGACGAAGTTTTGGATGAATCTGTCTCGCTTTCCGAATTGGCCAAAGATACGCCCTTCTACTCCGGTTCAGATCTCAAGAATGTTTCTGTTGCGGCTGCTATGGCTTGTATTCGGGAGGAGAATGAAGAGGCAGCCAAACAAACCGGCACGGAACCTTATGTATTCCCGCCTGTCCGCACCCTGAAAAAAGCACATTTCGTCAAGGCCTTGGAGGAAATCAGCGCTAGTGTCAGTGAAGACATGTCGACGTTAAGTGCCATCAGGAAATTTGACGAGAAGTATGGTGATCGCAAGGGCCGGAGGAAGAAGGCTAGTGCGTTGGGCTTTGGGGGAACTACCATCCCCGAGAAGGATTCGGAGTCAGCGAGAGTGAGGAAGTTGGTGGTTTAGTTCTGCCGCCTGCGGCGTCTTGAGCATGACGTCGGTGTCGGCGTTGCTGGCACGGTGTTTTCTGTGTATAATATTATATGTAGAAGTAAATAGACGCTGATGATTGATGGACATGCATGGCCCGGTGTTTAAGAGAGGGGGTTCATGTGTTATCTTTGTTCTGAGTGCTGATTGTGAGCATTCTTACAACGTGAATTTGATGTAATTATATATTGCTGTTCTATATGGCAACACCAAAACACAAATTGACTTTCGAGCGAGACCAGAAGAGTAATAGCCAATATACAACAAGCACCATTATCTTCGAACAACTCGCTAAATCCAATCTTTCTCGGAATACACCGTCGTCTGTGTCGAGATAACTGATCTAGTCCTCGAGCTTTGAACTCTGCAAAGAGATGCAGTAGATGGGATTGGATCACAAGGCGAAGTATTGTGAAGTGGTAGGATTGGTGCTCTATCTGTTGTTGGAATCTCTATTAGTTCTGCTCTTAGGCCATAGGAGTTATTGGTTTTTACTTACATGCAGTGCGGAATTGTTGGAGATTCTTGTAGCTTGTTATTGCTGCGAAGATTGTTGCTATTATGCTTGGGATGAGGGTGATGAGGGCGATTTTGTCGCTTGGTAGGAGGGCTGATGTGGTTTTTTGTGAGCCGAAATCCAGATTGGGATCTTGAACGAGGATTTTTGGGGGGTTTGGGCTTTACTTACACATCGTGGGCAGATTGTCGCAACTTTGGTGATATTGTATGGAACTTTTATGAAAGAGGGTTGAGGACGATTGGAAGTTTTCTTCCTACTGTTTTCAAAGCACAAGTTTATATGTCTGCCTCCCCCATCGAGTCAGACACCGAGAATATCGGCCCTGATGCCCAAAACAAAAGTACTATTTAGACGAAAAGCATGTACACACATTTGCAGCGAATCGGGGCCACTAGTCTTCAACTCCGTGTGTAATATATCCATCGGTCTGCCCAAACACTGGTGCAAATGGAATTGTACTTTTTTAGCGAACCTATGGTAAGGGGCGAGCATGCACACGCCGCCACAACCCAGCTGACTGCAGGAATAGTACTTTTTTCCCCAGCCTCAGGTTGAGATGCGCATCGACGTATGATACGCATCGAAGGACGGGTGAGGGGGTGGGTGAGGCTGTGGGTAAGGCAGGTCATAAGAACGTTCGTCTTCTCGCCCATGATCTCAATTTCCAACATCTGAAAACACACAAATATGGATATGCCGACATCCATCGTGCCACCAGCTGGTGGAAAACGCAGGGCTCCCAAGGCTCGGACAATGACTGCGAAAGACTGGAAGAAGTATGAAGATCGACTCAAGCAGTTGTATGCTGAAGAAGGCAAATCTTATAAGGAACTGGTGGTAATCATGAACCATGAGACCGGGCGCTGTTTAACGTGACCTACTTTCTGTCGCCGTTTTCATAGTACATGTCTAATTTTACCCAGCGAGCGACAGCTCAAAGTCAAAGTTCAGAAGATGAAGCTCGAGCGAAATTCAAAGCCAGGAGACCGAAGGGCAGTTATTCGTCATATCCAACATCGCATGATCATCAACAAAAACTGTAGCCGTGTACGGATCCGAGGCCACGAGATTAGTGCAGAAAAGTTGGGTCGTTGGTTTAAGGATTTTGCCCCTCAATTCTCATTCATGCCCGCAAGATCACCGTCGCGTAAGTTTGCATCAATTTTCTTCCTTCTCATAAAAAGTCTTTTACACATATTCCTTTGGTTTAGCTCAAGATGACCGCTTCTGATCTCATCATTCCTCCCGTTCGATCTTTCAACACAGAATTTACTCTGACAAATGACAGCTCTGCCAAGTTGCATAAGCATGTATACCTCTTCTCAATTTGGCTCCCCGGGATTGACTAATACACGACTGCTGGCTGGTCTTCCTACTACCGGTTTGATCAAACCAAACGACGAAAGTAGCGCGGTTATTGAGAGACTCCTCAAGTACGCTGGGACTCCAACCAATGCAATTCAGAACTTCGAAGCCCGCTCTGTGTTTAACGACCTTCAAACAATCCTTCCTGACGACCATAATCACGAAAAAATACGCAGCTATTGGCAAATGTCTCTTAGCTTGTGGAATCCCAGGGTTGAAGATGACCTTATGCGGGTGAGAAATATGATGAATATGAATCTGGGGGCTATTAAGATTGATAGTGAGAATTGTCATTTGTTAGATTCCAGCAATAATTTGCCAAGGAATGCAGCAACTCAAACGATCCCCAGCACTTCTTCCTCGATAGCTTATTCGAAGTTTAAGACTCCAAGAAGATATCACAGGCACGCAGCTTGGATAACACCCTATGGAAGAGTCGAAACGTCTTTTTGGACAATTCTGGACAATTACAATACAGAAATCGCTGGAAAGGCTTACCCGAAAGAGTTTTCCGCAGCCAGGATAGTTGTGTTACCATCTCAAGCCCGAAGCCGGGTGGTGGTTGACTTTACTCCCGGCCTGGACCCCTGGGCCAAAATAATTTATCAGGCCACGATTCCGAGAGGTTCACGAGTGTTTCAAATTATTGAAAGTGGTAATCTCCATCGACTAATGGAAGTCATCCAGGAAGGAACTGCATCTCTGACGGACCGTGACGAGGACGGGTGCTCACTCTTGAATGTAAGTTATCTCTGAGGTGGCAGCCACCAAGACAAGAGCTGATCTATAAGAAGTATGCTATGAATTATTCTCATCCAGGTTTATGCAGATATCTTGTTGAAAAAGGTGCAGACGTTAATGCAGTTGAGTGCGATATACGTTTTGTGGATCGTGTGGGGTAAGCTTGCCTTACAGATAATTAGTTTCTCGAAAGCCACTACTTCTACTTATCCGTATATGTATCATAAATATTGCTCGAGTATTTACTGACACCAAAGACTCTGCAGCCCAGTTCACGCAAAGTCGGGATTTACGATAAGCCAAGTAAATGAGGAAAGGCGTGTAAGAGCAGTTCAATGTACAAATATTTGCTATACGAATTCCGCAGACCCATCGATTCAAAGCTACGGGGGAGCTGGAGTATGGGATGATTCTTTAGTTAGGTACATTATCGATGGCTCATTGGTCAGTAATTTACATGTTTCATGTGTTTCAGATCTAACAAATATCAGGAGGATTTAAGACACGTTCTAGACTATGGGAGGGTTTTCCTAGACCTTAAAAAGTCCCGTTATATCCATAAGATTGCCGACTGCTGTGGTTATGCCTATTCGGATGCCCTCAGTATAGTTGACAAAGCCATTACTCTCATAAAGCGAGGTATCGACATCTCATCCCGCATTAATGGCGGTGATACTGTTCTGCACACCATTCTTCGTTGTGAGCGTGAGCACGAACAATACTCAAGAAATAAAGCATGGAGGTCAGGGGGTCTATGGGCTTGGGAAGTCTCGCTCAAAGCACCCAAAGACCTGATCATGGCTTGTATATCCGCTGGGGCGGATGTATACGTAAAGAACGACGCCGGCGAGACTCCTTCAATGATAGCGCAAGCGTATGGGAGAGTCAAGGAATGGTCTGAAGCTCTCACTGAATGCGGCTTTTATGCTCCTAGTGTCCTGGGATATTCTGACTCAAAAAGTTCTAGTGAGGAGTTTGTCTATGAACGACAAAAATCGAAACTCTCCTTTGATGAATTTTGTCGAAAAAGGGAGCGAGAACCTCAAATCAAAGAAGGCCGGGATCCTAGCTATAATGATCAACTTTGGTGATTGGGGATGGGACTGGTGATGAAGATAGTGGTGACGAATCTTGTGAAGATGATGAGCTTTGGGAAATTGACGATGGATGGGACTAGCGATGAAGGCAGTGGTGACGAATCTTCTGGAGATGTTGGATGCTCAACATCCAACGAAGAACCTACGGCAGAAGACGCCACGGTGCTCTCCAACAACCACGACGACACTGAGTTAAATGTCTCTACGGAAGAAATGGACCAAGATTCCGCTCTCTCTGGTTTCAAAAACGCTGAGGATATGTCAAGTGAAACATTTACGACAGGAATAGATCTTGGAACTGGATCGTTTACAGATGGCATGGATTTTGGCTATGATGATTTGGCGGCGTCTCAGCCAGATTTCTTGGGGGCTTCCTTTGATTTTGACGCTTATTTGAATGAGATGATGTAATGGGTGGACTGTGTAGGTTGACAATTCATCACAAAAAAAGGGAGGACAGGAACAGGAGGTGGTGATGCAAAAATTTGTCTAGTGTGTTTGGTTCATTAGGAGTATCTTACTTAATCCTTCCTCACTGTTGAATCATTCAACTTGGATTGACTTTCCTTTTTTGGCGATTTAAAAAATTCTTTTTGATTGTATGTGAACGAACTGTAGTCTTCAGGCAAAGATTGTCTGTAAAATAAGGTTGCCAACAAACATTTAGGACAATTTAGTGATTAAAGCCTACATTAGTCAATGTGAGCCGCAAATTTCGAGTTTACTTCTTGCAAAGACCAAAAGGTCTAAGACATAGTAAAGACTTATATTATGTTGTTTCACAGTGTGGTGAGGTGAGGTGACCACTTAGGAAGTGTATGGCTAATCCATTCTCTTCTCTCAGCCCTTTCCACTTGTCTAATCTTTCCTTATAATCGTCTCACCTTCTGCACTACTTCCTCCTCTCTCACTGGTGGCTGTCAAAAGCTAGCTATATTTAATGCTGACCTCAATTCTATTCTCCATACCGCCACTCTATACTATTTCAAATTCACTATGGAGTAGACTGCTTAAAACGCAAAGGAAAGTAAGTCTAAATTCACTACTAAAACTCTACTTTAGGCAAACCCTGGCAAACTCTACAACTGCTCCCTTGTTTTAGTTATTCTGGAAGTAGCCTTCCGTTTCAAACTTACCTCACACAATATAGCATGCTTCGACGACTGGAATTTGTAAAATTCACCTTATCAGCAGCCTCAGCCGCAAAAGCAAAATGGTCAATTTAGTAGGCTACACGTGCTTAATGCTACGTATTGCCCACTTTTCTGGGCCTTGTATCCTTACAATAAGCATAAGTCCTTACTGCTACGACTAAGGCTTGCTATATTATAGTAGAGAGTTGGATAGGACTAAATCTATAATTGGCGTTTGTTTTTAACTTGTGGAAGGATTAAGCGAGAATAGAACTCTTTAACTCATCACTCTAGGACAGAGACAGTTAGTCTTCTAATGTGCGGTATGACTGCACCTGAGGAAAAGTGGAATGCCACTTAGCTTAGTAACACGAGCATCATACGAATACTCGCTTAATTAGATTAGTGTTACTTGCATCCTCTAGAATGGAGCAATTATCGGAGGAAATGGCGCTGGCAAAATGGCATCCTGTAAATTCCCGACATCGGAGGTAACTTCTATCACATTTTGCAGCATCATTTGACAAACCCATCAATCAGTTCATGGAGGGTCCTTGAAACGTGATTACTGCAATGCAACACTAATCAAAGTGGATACTGGACTTAATCTCAAGATCTGATAAGATGAGAATTTTTCACGCCAAGAGAAGTTGGAACTTCCCAAACCTGCACACCCTCTTGGTGAAGATATTTTCCCGGAAGAGAAATAATTCACATGGACAAACGAGAGCTATTGCTAATATATCTCGCGTTGTTGAGAAGGCGAGCCTACGTACGGAAACAGCTTGAAAATTACAGCACTGTTTTACTATGAACTGCGCGGTCAAGAGATATTTTCTGTTACCATGATATACTCCGTACTAGGTCAAAAATATATTTCACATGAGTTGATTTATTCAAATAACCGCATCCTCCGTCCTCTTTTTTATCTCGGATCTGATAAGATCTTGATTGCTTGGCGGATGCCCACTTCCCCACTTAGTGTGGCGACTCAACACCCCCTGAACACAATTACGTCGACGGAACCTTCCACATTTCCCAGTGGGGAGGAGATATTCCGGAGGTGCCCACGGTGCAGGCGGGGTGCTGCTTCGTACCTAGTAATATGACATATCTCGCTTCCCGCAATATTTCACCACACAGTCACACACAACATTATTACCCGACGAAGAACCCTAATTGGTATCACGACGGATTTCAATTTGGAACAGCCTGCAAAAATTACCAGAGACTGTGATGTAAGGTTCTGAGACTACTGAGTAGGATCGGAAGGGCCGCCCGCGAGTCGTCCTACTGGCCAGGAAGGCATCCACCCTCGCCCTCCCAGTCGGACAAATGCCTATTTCGTCGATGGTCCCCTCTTCCCAGGACGCTGAAATGGATAGTCCAATGAGAGTTGAAGTCCGCAGCGAGCTATTAACCTCAGCATCCGAAAGCTTCGCAGACAAACTACCAGCTGTATCTTTCCAAAACCTTACAATCCGCCCAGCACAACACACGACACCAGACGTGCAATCTCAGCCGACAACACGAAGTGCTTCCCAAAAACCGAGAAAATGGAGCAAATTTCTGGCACGCCTCAAGTAGCGCCAGCGCCTGTCAAACAATTCCACTCCCCATCCTCACAAGTCCTTGACCTCGTCTGTGTTGGATTCGGAACCAACAGTTTAGCCCTTGCTACTGCGGTTAAAGACAACAATTCTTCGTCAAATGTTCTTTTCTTAGAACAAAAGCCTGAATTCCGCGCAAATAGTGGTTCCTCCTCGAGACATATGGATGTTTCTTTCATGCATGATCTTGCAACACTTCGGGATCCAACGTCAGAATTCACATTTCTGAGCTATTTGCAGCAACAAGGAAAGATGAATGAATTCGTTGAAGCCTTAAGCGAGAGTTCATCCGGACCTTTGAGAGGTGATTTTGAAGAGTACCTTGGGTGGGCAGCAGCCAAGTGTTCCGATTTGGTGGCATACGGACAGCAAGTTATAAGTGTTGAGTCACTTTCTTCTAGTAGATGGGCCGTGCAAGCGATGTGTATGGAAACCGGGGAGACTCGAGTCTTGATCGCAAAGAATGTTGTTTTTGGCAATGACGAACATGCAAGAGTTGCTGAGCACTTGTAGGCCAGTTTTATCTTTATTTCATTTAAGATGCTAATGAGAAATAGCAATGAAGACTCGGTCACAGAGCAGAGCGAGAGTATGGCAATGCTTCAAGTCATGGAAGCAGCAAAGCAAGTATACAGAACCAATCCCCAAGCAGTAAGTCGAGCAAATGAAGATTGCCAACAGCTTAGTGTCTAATCTTATGTCTTCAACAGTCATCCGATTCTCGTTTCTCGACCCTATGTATTCGCACAGTTGCCATCCACAACTTGGTATTCTCGGATGCCGAACCACTGTTTGTAAGAGCGATGCTATAAATGTGTGGGTTACGAATGATGACTTTAGACGATGATATCAGAGTTAAACCTCAGCATTGCATGGAGTATGGGGGATCTCGGAACAATTGGCGTTTGCATAAAAGTTTGATTTAGCCATGAATATAAAGTTCTGCATGTATGAGCTACATATAAACCACTACATTCTTCCTGACAAGTGTTGAGGATCTAATAGCTTATTTCTGGCCTCTAATTTTGATTTCATGGCCCATCTCCGTGTACATTAAACATATTGCATACTCGTACATTTGTATTCATGGGTGGAAAATTCTATGTAAAAAGCTCACACAATCGGCATCATCCATCCTTGAGTCTCACTAGCTTGATCTGATAACAATTGCTCCACAAAAATGAGAGACATGATTTACGGTGGAGCATTTTAGCGCCATCTGATAAGCTCATCCTAGCCCACTTGATGAAAATTTCTGCCACATCCTCTTCCCACCCAGCCACAAACGCCACATCTGGGCAGTCCCAAGGAAGGCCCGCGCAGGGGTGAGACGTCATGCCCGAAGAACGATGCCGGATGAGGATGCTCTTTTCTTTGTTTTTCGTGTTCGCTCCATGTCGAATGATCCTACTGCAATTCCTTTCCCTGGAGGGGTCTTCCCCGGTATGGCAGCGTCACAGGATACATGAGTTCTGATGCGAATGCTTCTTCTGGGCCGAACCGAGGCCTCAAGATGTCCCCATGGGTCATGGTGCATTGCATTGAAAGTCCGAAAGACCCCGGTAGCATTTTAATAATCTTTGTTTCCTATTTGGGTAATAGTTTTGATCTCAAATTAGAGCAGCAATGTCCCATATGCCAACCTTTAAGGGTGTATAGGCGGCGGATTGCTACTTCTCCATCAGTTTGAGAGTCTTGGCAGAATACATATTGTGTTGTCCGTCATACACCACACTTTCTTTGCGACATTGAGGAACCAGTCTTTGCAAGGTATCTTCTACTGTTATTAATTCTGAACTCCAGAGCACAGGGGATTTGTTTTGGTTTTAGGTCACTCACAGCATAACAACCTTTTAAAAGCCTTGATTTCACTTCCTACTGTTCGTTTTTGGATGATACCTTGCAACAAAACATCATGGAATTCGCAATTGACCTCCCGAAGAACTATCAACCCCCATCACTTATACAGGGACCTCTTTTCCCGCCTCTACAATACAAAACTCTAGGTCAGCTTCTGGACGACCAGGCATTGAAACGACGCGAGAACGAGTGTATTATATGCCCCACCTCAGGTACGCGATGGACTTACAACACTCTTCGTGACGAAAGTCTACATATCGCCCAAGGACTCCTTGCATACGGCATTAAATCTGGTGATAGAGTCGGAATCTTGGCTGGAAATTGTGCGGAATATATTGCTGTTTTCTTTGCTACGGGTTACATTGGAGCAATACTTGTGGTATTGAATAATACCTATACAAAGCAGGAGGCGAAGTATGCTTTGGAGCATGCAGGTGAGTACTTGGAAGGATAAGCTGAACCTTTGACTGACACTCTGGCTAGGGTGTAAAATTCTCTTTACTGTTCCAAAGTTTGGACGTGTGAGCCTCCGAGAGCTTCTGAATGAGCTTGGCCCAAGGCCATATGAATCGGGGAGATCAAAGTCGCTCATGAACGTCATTATGCTACGGCATACCTTGGGTGGATTCTTGACTTATGCCCATGTTAAAAAAGAAGGCAAGAGATTTGGACCAGATCCTTTGATGAGAGCTAGAGTAGCCGTGTATCCCGATGATACTTGCAATCTTCAGTTTACGAGTGGCTCAACTGGTAATCCCAAAGCTGCAATGTTAACACATTTGTGAGTCTTCCTGTAGTCGATATGAAAATACAAAACTAATCAGAGGCAGCAATCTAATAAATAATGCGACATCAATTGGTTCTCGTCTAGATTTCACAGAAGACGATATTCTCTGTTGCCCACCGCCACTCTTCCATTGCTTTGGGCTTGTTCTCGGTGTGCTGGCAGTCATCACGCATGGTGCCAAAATTGTTATTCCCTCAGAGACCTTCGACCCAAAAGCAGTACTGCATGCTCTTTCAGAAGAAAACTGCACTGCACTCCATGGGGTTCCTACCATGTTTGAAGAAGTTCTGAATTTGCCAAGACCTGATGGATGGAGCTGCGACAATCTACGAACAGGTATTATTGCAGGTGCACCTGTCCCGAGACCACTGATGAGAAGGCTGTTGAGTGAGCTTAATATGACTGAATTCACCAGCAGTTATGGTAAGTTCCACACTCACGGATTATCTAATTTTACTTGCTAAAAGTCTTTAGGGTTGACGGAAGCTTCTCCAACTTGCTTCAATGCTTTTACCAGTGATACAATTGATACTCGTCTCACTACCGTTGGAAGACTTCTCCCTCATCTGAAAGCAAAGATTATAAATCGCGAAGGCAGTATCGTACCACAAGGCTCAAGGGGTGAACTTTGTATTGCCGGATACTCTCTCCAAAAGGGATACTGGAACAACTCGGAGAAGACTAACGAAGTTATGAAGAGGGATGAAAATGGTGTACTATGGTTACATACCGGTGATGAGGCTTCTTTTAATGAGGATGGATATTGTACCATCACTGGGAGATTTAAAGACATCATAATCCGAGGTAATTGAAGAATCTGTCATAGAGCTCCAAGAATCAGTTACTGACCTCCAATTGATAGGTGGCGAAAACATATATCCAGTCGAAATCGAAGTTCGACTTTGCGAACACCCATCGGTTGCCCGCGCTGTCGTTGTAGGCATTCCGGATCAAAAATATGGAGAAGTGGTAGCCGCTTTCCTCCAATATACTGATGCTCCATCTCCGTCGAAAGAAACGCCTAGCGACGAAGAAATTCGCGGTTGGACTCGTCAAGTTCTGGGAAGGCACAAGGCACCTGTTTATGTCTTTTGGTTTGGAAAGGAGGGCGCACCAGTTGAAGTTCCTCAGACTGGAAGTGGCAAAGTGAAGAAACCAGATCTGAGATTTCTAGGAGTGAAAATTGTCAGAGAAAGAGCTGGGTCTACTATAAAAGCGAAACTTTGAAGATGATAAAAATATGGTCGTGTATAGAAAGAGTTATTTGTTCGTATTGGAGCTTGGAGTTTATTTTTTTGTTTCGACACCTGAAAGCCATTAGAGGTAGATTCAACATGGTTAGAGCTTATTCATAAAACAATAGTATAATTCCTTAGGAAACAATATCCAATGCTCAAATTAACTCCAAAATAGCAAGCATATCAACACATTTTCCACCACTCATAACTTCGATCCTCTACTAGCTTGATACCACTTATCTGCCTCCTCCAAGCTCCTTCCGCCGTCCCACTCAAATGGACACAAACTAAAGAACTTCTCCCTCGAACACTTCACAAACGCACTTCTCTTATGTGGGAAATCCACAAATTTCTCCACCGCGAATCCATGCGCAAGATCGTACGCCAGAACCCGACTATTTGTGGCCCTTGGCTCTCCAACCACACAAGTTGTTCTAGGATCATCGAGGAAAATGTAATGTATCAAGCTTGACCACCATGCACTGACACGATGTGGTCCTCGGTATCGGATATCACCAACGAGGGAGTGGCGTCCGCGATCGAAGTCTCCTGCATTGTAGTAGGCTCCTAGTGTATCCTCCTTCATGGAATGTCAGTATCACTCCCGGAGGAAAAAGAGTTGGGAGAATGCTTGTTCATACCTTGGCCCAGTAAACTTCAAAATAAGCAAAGAAAGTCTCCTCAAATTTCGCCAAGATGGTCACAATATGTTTATCCTCATGCAAATTCCTCAAATAAGTACGATGTTGCTCCAAAGTACCTGTCTCATTCCATCCCTGCGCAACACGAGGATCATTCTGCCACGTGTGGAAAAGGTTCAAGTGCTCAGGATTTTCATAATCCAATGCAACCATAGAGAAGTGTTCTTGGAGATGAGGAATATAGCGACTGTAGATGACAGATCCAGGGGTTGGCTTCGCTGGTCGGACGGGATGGTGTGCATATATGCGAGAAGCGGGGAATTTGTTGGTTTGTGTGTAGGTGAGTGGCATGAGTGGGTAGGATGATAGTTCTTGGTTTGATGATTTGAGAGTAATTTGTTCTGCGAGCCAGAGGGGTCTTGCTCCGAACGGGGAACCAGCTCCTTGCCAGAAGGTATCTCGAAGAACGACGAGCTCTTCTGAGTGGGGTTTGTCCTTTCCAGAAGGATGGCTGGATGTAAGACCGACGGATATCAAGTCCTCTTGGAGGTTTGATTTGTTTGCTCCATTGAGTTGGAGTCGGAATTTCTCATGTTCGGGTGATAGTGAGAAAGAGGCATAAATAATGAGCCAAATCTGACTGAGAGTCGGTGATGAAGTCCCCTTCCACTGAATCGTCGCTGATGGAGCTCTTCGTGCCCTAGCCCATGACGTATTGTCGTCAATTGAAACCTTCTCTCCTTCTAACAGATGACCGAATAAGATATTCGAGTTGTGAAGTGGTTTTTGAATCACTGCTGCGGATCCTTTGCCTTTGGGCTCTTTTGTCTGAACCAGCTCGATTTGAAAGCTTGCGGAAGAAGCTGAATCGGCAGCTGCTGAGCGAAAGATGCGGTAATTTGTGTTCCATGGGTGTGGCAACGCGAACGTATAGTTATCCCATTGATCTGCCATTTTTGTATGAATTGGTTGCAGAATTTGAGTAAATAAAAGGTGTCTTCACTAATTCAAGAAATTGTTCACAACCTTTCAAGGACGGCGACAGCCGTGGCGGAGTTATTTCAGAGTGAAGTTTTTGAACCACTGAGACCCAAGACTCAGTAGCTACAACCCAAATCCTGGTATTCCGAAATAGTACCCCATTCGAACTAGTAAGACCATTCCCAAAATTCAAATGTGAGGGAAAATCATGGCGGGGAATGTACATGCGAGTCTAGCGAGCCCCTGAACATTTTCCTTGGCAGGCGGTGACAGGGTTGCGATCTAATCTCTACGATTGATTAGATTACGTTACAATAACCCCACTTTGCCAACACTCTTGCAAACTCTGCACATTCGGGTGAGCCCGTAACATCGAAATGGCGTGAGAGTTTTGCTAGGATCATGAACTGTTCCTCCGGGAATCCGTCATAGAAGTCTGAAACCTGTTCCTACTTACACGTGATACTATAATTCCAAAAGTACCTAGGTGGAGGATCAGAACCAGTACATCAATAGTTCTCAACACCAACCCTACGAAGTCTTTACAATTTCTTGCAGAAAATACTTAGGCCCAAAATCCAAATAGAGGGAAAGAAGAAGGATCAAATATAGAAAATAAAATGTCTACTTCTACAGCCGTCTCATGGCTCAAACGAGACGTCTTACTTTTTGCACACAGCATCGGTTGCAAAGCTGATGAACTACATTTTCTCTACGTAAATTTTCTTAGACTTCCTTTTTACCCTCTCCTATCTGACTACTTTCCGCTAGGAATTGCATCCCAATTTTCAAATTTTTCCAACATATCCTGTCATATTATGTATATTCTTGCCCCAAAGTTTGAATAGAGCTCAATGAAAGTGTTATGAAAAGGTTTAACTGATGATCTCAAAGCATTCAAAGATTCATCTCAAGAAGTCATTCCTTATGATACAACTTTACCTCACCCACCCGTCCCTGAACTGACCCCTCGACCTCCACCACTTGATCCAAGAAAAGTAGTTGATGGTATCCGCCATCTCAAAATCCATAAAACCCTACCAACAACTACCGAGGGACGTAACTTTTCAATGCGGAAATCCATCGTAGGTATATACGACAAAGGATCTGGAACGATTGTGCACTCGCGTCATGAACTCATCGACGAGTCCGAAGGGGTGTGCTATGCTGAAGTTGACGCGCAGAGCTTTTATGTTGGCCAGGGAGGCTGGGGTGGACCTAGAGGACCCAAAGGAATCAAGCTTGATACTCCGAAACGAAAACCAGACTTTGTGGTTACCGAGCAGACGGGCAAAGAATTGAGTCTTTTGTATCGGTAAGAGTTCCTCATATTGGGATAGGTCGGCCCAATGCCCAGCTTCAAGTATTGCGGAACTAACTTCGTCAAGATTGAACGGGGACTATAACCCGCTTCATGCTACTCCCGAGCCTGGCAAAGATATGGATTTTCCAGGCGTTATCTTGCATGGACTTGGGACTTGGAATATCTCCGCGCATGCAATTGTGCGTACAGTCGGAAGCGGAGATGGCAGCACTCTACAAGAGTTTCAAGCACGATTCGCATCACCAGTACTTCCTGGAGATAAGCTTCTGATTGATATCTGGAATTTGGGATTTATTGGTGGGAAGGAAGACTTGGTAGATGTACGGTTTTCGTGCCGTGTCGATGGCGGAAAGGTCGTCCTAAAAGAGGGACAAGCAATTCTGAAAGTTCCAATAAAAGGGAGTGAAGCAAAGCCAAAAAGCAAGCTGTAGAATTAAGGGAATCTGTTGGCTCTAAATTTGGGCGAATTCTGACTTCATGAAGTGGAATTTGAGAGAGGAAGCGCGCTTCGGTTAGCAGAAATATTAGGGCAAATTCCAAAGGATCGCGAGGATCATGCTTCACTGGACGTAAAATTAGAAGAGAAGAGAAGAGAAGAGGGGTCAAAAGACAACAAAGGGAGTGGCTTTGGCCTAAAGCTCAAAAGCCATCTCAAACACTCGGACGTAGAATAGCCTGTTGTAGATGGTAGTGCATGCACGAGGAATAAGAGCTCGCTTAGTGACAAAATCCCCTTTCCCGGGTATGGGTATTAGCGATTCTTTCGGGTTCTAGATAGCGATGGACAGAGTCATGAAGAGGGTCAATGCCCAATATATCTCGGTATGTATTGGATAATCCAATTGGCTCAAAAGACTAGGTTGAATCCTACTACTCACCTGGTTAGGTGGTAATTTAATAAGTTATTATAAAACCCTTTGTTTTGAATTAATTAAAACAGTTCGAGAAACCGTATTAGCTAAGGACTAATTGAAAAAAAAAGTGTAAACCTTTCTACAATCTAAGGAATACCTTCCTCAACCTGTTGAATAAATCGTCTGAATAAAACACAGCATATAAATATAATTGCGCGAACGAATTTGGCATTACATGATCTGAATAACATTATCAGAATGATGTTAAATAAGATTATTCGTCAAAGGAATTTTGGTGGTGGATCTTACGACTAATTAATTAGGCAGGCAGTGGATTAAGCGAATGACTTGAGAATGTTTCTTGTCTGCATTTTCGGTCGTCAATATTTTAACGACTAGTGTAGGCATATAGCCAATTAAGAAGGTTTGTTCTAAGTGAATCTTTTCTAAAATGAGCGTTCTAGTTCTATGTGGACAACGGATATATTTATTGAAACCATAGATTTTGATAGACCCAAAAGAGGGAATGTTAGTAGGGAGTAAGTGAGATGATTTGTATTGGGTCAGTTCACTTCGTATTTTAGCGGTAAGAATTTTACCTTGATTCAGAGATAAATGGCATACAATGGCTAAAGTGTCCAAATCACGATCCGGTATTTCGCATGATCTATAAAAGTATATACAATCGAAAAAAGTCTCTAATCAGCCTGCCGATGTAAGCTTCAGCTTCATAGTATTCCCCCTGGTTTACTATTCAACATCATCTTCACAGCCTTCCTCGGTCGCTGCAGCTGAGTTCCCCCCTGTTCCTGCTGGAGACGCCGAGTATATGTCTCCAGATTTGTCTTGAAGCCCAAGCCAAGTGCCATTGGCTGGATATTTGGTCCACTCGCGCTCTTGGCCTCCAAAAGCACTATCCCTTTTCGCTTCCAAATCCGCCGCCATGGCTCCATCTGTTGTTGGTGGAATCATCAAGTTCGTTGTCGTATTCCCGAACAGGCATACTCGGCCATTGACAAACTCCGCACGCTCTGCATCGACACCCGGGGTGACCCAGAAAGTCATGTTCGGATCCAATTGTGCCTTAATCTTTGAAAGCCGGGCGTAGTTACTTCCCCAAAAGGACGTCTGCCAATTCGGCTCTGTGACACTCCCCCATGAAACAAATTCGTTAGTATCAATACATGCGACCTAGTGTCAGAAAAGGAGAGATAAATACCTCGTTGATATATGTTCCCATATCTGGAGCAAGTTTTCGAAGTCCATCCACGTTCAGCGTATTTGTTTTCCACCCCACAACAAATGCCACCGCCTTTCGCCAGCCAGGGTTTGCCGATGTATCGTTGCCATTCCCAATATGTGGCCCTGGAGTATGCATCATAATACCGTAGTTTCCATTTGTTCCAGCGAGTGCAGCTGTAAGATCTGGGCTCTTGAAATGCTCGGCAGAAAGAAGTCGACTATCAAAAGGAACAATACCGAAGTTGGTGGGGTCCGGGGCGTGGGAGAAGCAGTGAAGTTTCCATACGTTAGCTCGAAGAATTCCTTGTAGTTTGCAAACTCGAATGGTTTGGTTTGGAAAGGAGTCATTCCTGGGAGAGCTGACATCTTTTCAAGAATTGGACTCCATACAGCATTCGCATTGGCTACTCCAGACGTGTTTCCGGGATGAATAGAGTAGCACCGAACCTGAGAGGTTCCGGCATAGATGTAAGCGCTGACACCCTCCTCTTGCAGAGCCGGTAGTTCACCCATGAGGTATGCCATCGACTCGCTTATCGGTCCCTTGCTATATTATACTTAATTTTCCTATTCCGGTTGTGAGAGGCCAGACCTCGAATAGCTCAAAGGTGTGGTTTCGAATATTCAATTAAGAAGTGCGTGAAGACTACATACATGCGAGCTCTTCCTCTATATATAGAGAGGAAGAGCTTCCTGAATATTCCAAGAAACTTGCAAGAAACTTGAATGACGAATACATGATGTCAGAAGAACAAAACAAGAAAGTGTGGAAAAGTAGAAACCTGTTTGGCAGTGGGGTAATGGCCAGTGCTAAGCAGGGACTTTGGTCAGTGCTTAACGAGGACTTTGGTCAGTGCTTAGCGAGGGCATGGCCCGAGCCTCCATCATGGGTTCCAACCCTCACACCGGTACGATTTAAAACTATTCTTTTTTTTCAGGAAGACGCTAGTCTTATTTAAAAAAGCTCCATGGTATAAATGAGCTCCCATATACGAGTACTACTCCTACCTTAGCTAGCTCTTTCTATCTAACTACTTTTTCACAGCTTATTTAAACAGTCTTCTGTTTTGTCCCTGATGTTTAGTCTTAGTACCCAACGATAGCACTACCCGCACGTCGGACTAAGCCCCTTAAGCTCGCTTAAGTAGTATTCCGACCGATCCGACCGCCTAAATAGGAAATCGTAAACCCAGTTTGAAATGTACATACGGGTCGTCGAGGAGATGATAGGTAGTATTACTATCTACTTTTTACTAAAAACTACCCGAAAGCCCCCATTTTGATTGGTTAGAAAACCCTCTAGAATTCTAGAGACTAATCAATGAAAGTATTCCATTCTATTTTATAGGTGCGCTAGAAGTATTCCATATAGAATATTCCACCTGGAATTCCATGGAATATATTTCCATCTGCCGAGCGTTAGAAGTATAATAATCTGTTGTTAGTTAATCTGACCCGTACGGAACCTGTATATATTGGAACAGGAGTGTATAACAAAGGAGGGGTATATAAGCCAGGCTCCTGCCTACAGTACGTACTTAGCTCCCTAGTCATCTGAATAGAACTCTTCTCGCACCCTGGCCTTCCATATTCCTAGCAATATGATCCCGCCACCTAACTACATTCTTCATTCCTCGCTCGTCTCATCTTACCTCATTAAAAACCAAAACCCAAAAACCAAAAACCTAAAACCCAAAACCCAGAACCCAAAACAAAACAAATTACCTCAAAAGTAATCCAAACACTTATAAGAAAACTATATTAAATTACTTCTTATCCCCTCCTTCGTTTAATTAACCTCTTATTATTCGAAAGCTTACCCCCTATTCCATTTATCCGAAATCATTAGTTCTTATTCTCCCTTTTTTCCTAAGTAAAATAATAGCTATAATAAAGTAAATTAAGTTATAGTTTAGACTATATTACTAGAAGCTATTATATATACCTATTACTATACGACTTTAACATTTTACTAAACGGCTTTAAATAATATGGCCCCTAGCTAATTCATAGTAAATAGCTAGGTACCTATAAAGTTAGTTCTTATATAAAGTAAAATAATTCGATTAACTTATAACCGTATTAAGTCGTATACCTTATCCTCGTACCCTCGCCGTTATATATTCTATCTACGAATACCTTTACTATCGCTATTATATTCTAATTATATTCTAATTAAAACCGTAAGACTTCTATTATTTCGAGTTCTCTAGAACCCTCAATATTCGAATAGTTTAGTTAAAGCTATGATTTTTAATTTATAAAAGAATAAAAATAATATTTAGCGACAGTAAGGTATTAATAATAACTATTAAGGTATATTACTTCGTACTAACCTAGGGTAGCTTTATAGGTAACTAGTAACCTATCATAATTTAGCTAGGGGTTCTAGTTACTTTAAAGCCGCGTATTAAAATATTCAAGTCGTATAGTAATAGACTTAGATATATACTATACGAGTAGATTTATATTCTTCTTCCTACTTTATACTCTTCTCGCCTCCTTTATCTTCCCTATCTAAAAACCTAAATTAATACCTATCTATCTATTAGATAGTACCTTACCTTAAAATACCTTACCCCTAGTACGTATAAAACAACCCTGTCGCGAATCACGTGTTTACGTGATACCTGTCATAATAGAAAGGCGCAACCCTCGACAGGCATATCTAGGTTTCTTATAGTAAATAGGGACCGCTTAGGGTAGCTAAGCGATCTAAGGATTTTCATTGGTTTAGAGTCACGTAATGGACCCCGAAGGACCTCAAAGGGATCTAAGGGATCCTTCGGATCCACGGGACACAATAAGAACGAAGGTTCTATATAAGACTAGCACATCTGCTATTAGATAGGAGCTTCGTGCTCAACTTAGTTATTAATCTTATTATATTTGTTTAACATCTTTAATACAAGTAACGAGTTCACTTCTAAGTAAATAACCCGATAGTCTTCTTCTTATTATAGCATACTAACTAGCGAACACCTAGCCAAGTTTAGTTAGCCAGTTTGAGTATTCGTTACAAACCCCCCCTTCTCTCCCTTAATAAATGTGACGGAGCTGGATTTCATTTGACAGGATTTCATTCGCTTGGCCAAGCACGTGACGAGAATTGGCATTGGAACAACGTAAATAACTTCGCTCCTTTCAGATTCTCTTCTCTCTTTAGTTTGATTTCTTCGTACCTAAGGTTTTAGTTCTAGCAATTGATTCAAAAGCTGTATACACTTTATCCTTTGTTGGCATCCGTGACATTAAATCAAACTCATTACTACATCCTGGGAAGGAAGCTTTACAACTCAAAATTGTAGAAGCAAGTATCCCACCACCGCCACGTTATACATCACTGAACACATCTGCGTTATATGTCCCTGAACGACGGCAACACCACGGCAACACCACGTTATACATCACTGAACGTTTTTACACGTTATATGTCCCTGAACGGTGGTCACCACCAAAAACACTCTTTCGACTCTTTCGATTATTTCGACTTTTCGA